ATAGCACTTTTCTTGATGACAAACATATCTACTAATTAAAAACAAAAAACCCGAAGTTACGCAAAATTAATCCATGGAAAAAAAACTTAAAGTCAGAAAAAATAAATAAATAAGAGAATAAGAAAAGAGTTGCAAAAAAAAAAGGGAATCTAACAAAAGCATCAAATAATTGAAATTTTGAGAAGGGAAGGGAAGAGAAGCTCCGACTCACCTTGTTAAGAGCAACAGAGAAAGAAGAAGAAGGGCGCCGCAAGCAGGAGGCCCTCTCCGCTAGGGTTTAAGAAAGAAATAAGCGAAGTGAGAAAGAAACGGACGGCGGCTTATTAACGAGAAATCATAAAGTAAGGAGTAGATTACACATTAGTCCCTGTATTTAGAGAAATAAACTAACGAGTCTCTTTTGTTTTACAAAATAATTTTTTAATCCTCTATCTTTTAATTTTGCCAGTCATTTGATCCTTTCATCAATTTCCTTTAGATTAGTGATTTTTTTCAAATTATTTTTTTATGTTTTATTTCTTTTTTTCATTCACTCTCTTTCTCTCCCCTTGACTAAAAATTAAAAAAATAATTTAAAAATTAAAAATACTAATCTGGTGAAAAACTAATAAAATAATTAAATTATTGTTGAAATAAAAACATCATGAATTAAATAATTAGTTTTTGAAAAAGAAGTGCCCGACTAATTCATTTTTTTTCACTCAAACATATTTGCACTATTCACTTGATATTATTCTAATTTTTTCATATACTCCATTTATTTACCATTGGTATGATTTTTATCTTCATGCACATGTGATGAAATTATTGTAATTTTTGTTTTTTATTTATGCATTTATAATGATATTATTGTGATTCTCAATATTTATTCATGAATTTGTGATTTTAGATATTGTTCAAGTATTTGATATGAAGTTTTAACAAAAAAAAATGCACTTTACTACCTTTTTATAAAAAAAAAAAATATGTTTCGGTTTTCAACTTCTTTTATAGTACAATTTGGTTCCTAAAAAAAATAATTAAAAAAAAAACCATTTCGATCATTTTGACTACCAATCTTGGTTTTAATTTACTCGCCTTGAAAAAAAGAATTTGTTTACTCGTGATCTTAAGTTATAAAATTGTCAAATAAATGAGATATATATATATCTCAAAATATTAATTTGAGTTTATGAATTTGATTTGGATTTTTGAGTTATGGTATTTTTTAGTGTTTGAGTAATAATTAAAATTAAGAAGCCGGAAAAAAAGAAAGAGAGAATTTATTGTATACACATGAAGCCTATACGCGGAGACCAAGCATACATGACTTGGAAACAAAAATATATAAAAAAGGAATCCAGGTGTATTTACTTCATTTTATATAATCAAAATTCATTGAAATCAATTTTATCGGGTTTTTTTTTTTTGGAAATCGATTATGCATCATATACACAAAACACTTAATATTTACTTTTTTTAAAAAAAGAAGAGAATTTTGAAATCAAATTCATTCAAATAAAATAATAAAATTTATGTTTAAAAAAACACTCAATGGTACAATTCTTTTCAAATGGATTTTTTTAACCTAATATACTTACTTTAAAAAATTAATCTTCTCATCAATATTCAACAAAAATAAAAATTATTTTAAATATTTTATTTCTTATGCAATTTTTTTTACATTAACTGATATTTTATTTTTTCAATGCAATCTTCCGACTTTTTTTTCTTTCGATTAATTGAAGCCTTCATTTTAGATTACTACTAGTCGATTCCTATGTTGTGTTACGGATCGAATTAAACATATTTATTTCAACTTGATAACATATACTATATTGTTGGTTAATTAAAATATATTAAATTAAATATAAAAGATAAAATTCCATCCAATTTCATAATTTTTAATCAAAATTTTGTATCTATATATTTTTTAAGTTTTGAATAAATTTTGAAGGAAAAAAATGATTTGTTCTTTCTTATGCATTTATTCTTAATAAAACCCATAAAAAATTTTAATATAAAATTTTAAAAACCCATAACAAAAATTTCAATATAAAATTTTTAAAAACTATTTTAATATTTTTTTATAACATTTTATCAAAGAAATAAGGCAACAATTAATATAAAAAAATATATGAAAAACAAATGAAGCTTTTTTACTAATGAGAAGATTTTTTTAAAAAACAATGCACATTTGATTTATATATCTTTATTTAAAAAAACAATGAATAATGTTAGTATATAAAATTGTATTTGAATTATTAGGTTGTTCTCCTAAAATATTATTTCAGTTATTTTATTTGAAAAAAATAATTTTAAAATATTAAAAAATATAGCAAATAGTTGATATTATGTGTGTAGATGCACAATTGATTTATAATAAAATCAATGACTCTAATATCATTATTTTTTTTATGCATTATGACCCCACTCAATGAGTAAGAATGTATAGCATAAATTAAAAAATATTTTTAAAAAGTTAAATAGTAAAATATATATTGAAGTTAATAGAATGTATTACAAACTATAAAATTGATTTTAATAAAATTTGATTACATAAAGAATAAGAAAATAAAATACATATATTCTATTTTAAAATTTAATTATATAAAAATTAAGCAAATAAAAAAATCTATAAAAAAAAACTTATTCGAATTCATACATAGAAAAAATAAACCATATTTATTAACAAATAAAATTATATATAAAAATAAGAATAAAAATTAACTTGTGAGAATTTCTATAATAAATCGAAAAGATCAATTTTAAACAATAAGAGTAATTTATTATTATTCTAAAATCTAAAAACATATTATATATATCATATAATCATCAATTTGAATGAAAAAAGTAACAATTGATTTTTTAAAATTTTAACACCCGATTAAATAATAAAAAAAGAACATAAATTGGTGAAAAAACAAAGGAAAAAAACCAAAAGAAAAAAATAGAAAGAAATAGCTGCAAGCACAATGTAATGCATTAGCTAGGGGATTAAAATTTTTATTTTAAAAATTTAGATGTCAAAATGAAATATAATGTAAACTAAAAATATAAATGTTCAAAAACAACTTGAAAATTATGAAGAAAAAAAATACCATCAAAGTTAAGTATGTAAATAGTAACTTGTGAATGGATTAACAGTTTACTGTTTAAAACCCTTCACCTCTTTTAATTTCTTTTAATAAGGTTTTTATTTAAAAATTTTTATATATAGAAAAACAAATCATTTTTTAAGAAGAAATATATTAAAAACATAAGAAAAATTAATTAAGTGCAAATTTTTTATTAAAAATCATAAAATTAGGTGATTTTTTTTTTGTTTTTAATTTTCATGTATTTTATTGAACCTACGGTATAGTAAAGACTATCAAATTATGATAGTTTTTATTTTTTTAATAATTTTATTCATGGCTCCAAAGTAAACCGTGTAAATGCTGTGGCAAGGTGGCCAGGGGATGTTTTCTTTCCTGTAGAACATTGCACTACAGATCAAAGATAGCACAGCAGCTAACCACGCTGAGTGGCTAAGGTGGTTAAAAGGTTGTCAGTTTTAAAATTACTAAAATAAAATAACACGGCAGCCTAGTGGTTATTGGCGGCTTATGTTATTGTCCAGAGTTGCTGGGTCTCCAGCAGTTTCGGGAATCTTTTATTTTTTGTTTTATATGAGGCCAGGCCCTCTCTGTTTCGGGCCTTTAGTTTCAGTCCAAACCCAGGGACAAAATGTCTTGCCCAAAGTAAAAGGGGCCTTTTATCTCATCCAAAAGGGTTACAAGAAAAACCCAACCCATCATATAATGGAAAAAACCTTCCATGTTTGGCTAAGCTTCACAATGCTATCCCACAGGAAACTCATCCAGTTCAGCTGGATCGCTTTTTATTTTTAATTTGGTCCCTGTAGTTTAGCAAGTCTCACGAACCGATCCTCATAGCTTAACAAGACTCACAAATTAATTTTCATAATTTTAGAAATCATTTACAAAGGTAAGGCCAAGTGCAATTTCATCCTAAAAGTTAACTAATGCAAAATCCAAAAAAGTGTTATGCACGTGGATAAAGTCTCAAATTTTCCTCCGACAAAATTAGGTATCAACGAATCAAAAATCCAAAAATTATACATTGATAAAATTATGAAATGAGCCCAAAACCATAAATTACCTATGAGAAAAAATCCGTAGGTGATTATAACAAATTTTATAGGTAATTTTTTTCCAACGGAATTAACTTCGCATCAGTATTTAAAAAAAAAAAATTACTCTATTTCATTAGTCATTCTATCATAAAACAACTATTTAAAAGAGTGTCTCCGACATTGTCCTAATTAGTCATTTCAATACCAAATTGATTGTCGTGACTTCTTTTTATTTAATAATAAAAATTTTTTCAAAGCATATTAACAATCTGTGTCTTTCCAATTAGTCTAGTGGATTAAAAAAATGTTTAATAATTTTTTCTAAATGCAAGTTCTATTGTTCAAAACTAAAAAATCAATGAAAAGAGCATGCCTTCTTAATTAACCATCCCAACAAACGTTTACAATTATAATTATTGTTAGTTAATGGTATGTAATTATCAAAAAACGAAAAGTAAAAAATAATTGTGCAATAAATTTTGCATGATTATCATGCTAATATTATAGCATTAGATAAAAATGACTTTTTTTTTCATGGGATTCTAGTATTAATAAATCAACTAAATTCTATTCAAAATTTTTATTGTGAATGCATCCATTTTATTTTTTATTACTTCAAATAAATATTATAATATTTGAATAAATTATTTATCTTTTCCAAAATAAAATATACAACAATATCGAACCTCTTAACTATTGAGGTTATTTTTATTTTTGTGGTTTATTGAAAAAGAAAAAAATGTGTCTTTCCCACGACATGTCGTTTAATTGAAATATCTGCAATCCATGACAAGACACGTCGTCCACCTTTCTCCCCCTTACCACCTTATCTCAACAGAAAAACCTCGGACGGTACTCACTCGACTCGCTTCCAGCCGCCGTAATGTTGCTGAGACTAGGAGCGGTGACGCCGCTTCTCCGTCCGTCTCTCTTCTCTCCTAAACCCTTTCTCCCTTCTTCTTTAAGAATCCCCAAACCCTTGTTTTCTCTCTCTTCCTTCTCTACGGTACCGTTTCACTCTTTAGTATCTCATTCTTCCAATTCAAAACCAACAACTCTCTTCGATAGTAATAACAATAATGCCATTTCTGTTGAACCTTATTACCTATCCTGCTGTATGCCTGATAAAGATAAGCCTCTTAGAATTGCCGTCCTCCTCAGCGGCGGGGTTGACAGTAGCGTCGCCCTTAGGCTTTTACATGCCGCTGGGCACCACTGCTCCGCTTTCTACCTCAAAATTTGGTTCCAAGTAACCTGTTTTTCCTTTCTTTCATTATTTTCATTTGGTTCCAAATTTTGGAAATTTCTGTGAAATTAGTTGTGATTAGAAGAAGGTGGTCTTTTTGTAGGAAGATTTTGACAATTTTTGGTCAGAATGTCCATGGGAGGATGACTTGAAGTTTGCAAAAGGCGTCTGTGATCAGGTTTTTAATTTTCGTTCTTCTTTTGCCTTTTTTCTTTGAATTTTATTTCTCTTGAAGCTGTTAATGTTTATAGTTGCGTTGAAGAAAATAGATGTCCTTTTTGGGTTCGCCAAAGCCAAGCCTTGATCAAATTCTTTTCGTTTGGTCATGCTTCTTCTTCAAAGTTTGAGCTGATGGTTTACACTTATTCTGTTGTAGTAATTTCATTTCATTGCTTGGAATTCTACTTTTTCTTGGTTTTATGACTTATAAAATTGGCATCAAAATAACGTTTCTGTAATGAAAGTTTTCTATGAAAGGATTTTTCTTTCCTACTTTAGGGAGAAAAATTTCTTTCGTATAAGTTTGTGCTGGAGAGAGAGTGTTTAACTGAAGTTTGATGACATTGGTTTTCAGGTTGATGTTCCATTAGAAGTTGTGCATTTGACCGACGAATATTGGAACAATGTGGTATGTATTTCTCATCAAAAAGTATTTTCCTTGGATTATGTTTTGTTACTTGGTGAAGTAATGAAAATCCATGGTTTATTTTCCAGGTCTCATATATTATTGAAGAGTATCGATGTGGTCGCACTCCAAATCCTGACGTTCTTTGCAATACAAGAATTAAGTTTGGTACCTCTCAGCTTATCTTTTACAAGTGAATTGCTCTTTAATTAGTTGACTCCGACTCTCTTTATACTTATACTTTTTCATTAAAAATTTCAGGTGCATTCTTGGATGCCATCAACAATATGAAATTTGATTATGTTGCTTCAGGGCATTATGCCCATGTTGTTCATCCAAATTCAGATCAAATAAATAGGCCATCTGTTTTAGAACTCTCAAAGGACATGGTAACTAAGTGAGAACATGACTGCTGATCTTTACTTTGTTTCTGTCTCTTTGGCTTTATATCATCAGTCTTGGTGTATTATCTTAAAACTGTAATTGGGTATTTGTGTTTATTTTTACGAGATGCATGATGCATTCTTTGAAAACAACATAATCACAACAGTAATGATGCTTTAAGGTGGAAAACCTTATGGTAAATGGGGTTTAAATTTGTAACGTGAGTCTACAGTTTGTAAAAAGTTTTAATTCTTAAGAAAAGAAGACAAAGTGGTTTTCAAACTTTTTTTCCTTGCAATATGTGCACAGAAATCATTGATGTTTTTTTCTTCAAAATTCCTATTGCATTATCTCTCACCAAGGGTAAAACTTGGGAACAGGGTTGAGAGATCACTAAGATCTTCAACTTGGTAAGAATTATACGTATTATATTTGTTCTGGGAATTTTATTCTGAAACTCCAATAAATTCAACAATAATTGCACAAATTACATTTATGCTTGTATGATGTTTTTGTGTTATTTCTAATATGAGGATGGATTCCTAAAAAGTTTACTTGAAGCATTTGTCTACTGTGGGTTGTTAATATCAATAATTATGATCTACAGGTCAAGGATCAAACATATTTCCTTTCACATTTGTCACAAGCTCAGCTTAAACGTCTTATTTTTCCACTTGGTTGTATTCCAAAGGTGAGTTGTTTGTATGCTTATTGAAGTGCCAGATTTGTACTGATGAGATGGTTTCGATAGTTTCCAATGCATTTATGGTATTAATTCATTAATTAGCTGATGGATCTTTGTTTGTCAACTTTTTTGACAAGTCTTAGATTTTGCATATGGTTTAACAATTTAAGATAAAGAAGCATGGCGGTGTATGCCAACAATAAGTTAGCTCAATGTGGCTCCATCACACACTGTAATAGTAAATCGATCGATATAAGTGACTCAAATGACTTGTTGCCTTGACTTTATCATTTTAAATGCATTATCTAATTTGATGGCCATTAGAACTTGAAATTCTTGTAATTTGGCTGATATTTTCTTGCAACTGAAGTTCTATTTATTTGTGTTTTGTTTTTTATGTTCTTCATTTCAAAAGTATATCACAGTGTATCATGCTACTTTTGATTTCATTGCATGGTTTTACTTCTTGGGACTGCAGAAGTCTTTCAAAATTCTTTCATTTTTCTTCCTCTATTTCTAAATAGTGAATATTCGTCTGTCTTTATTGTTGCAGGAATAATGAATATCCCTCTGTCTTTATTGTTGCAGGAAGAAGTTCGCAATCTTGCCTCGAAATTTGATTTGCCTAATAAAGACAGAAAGGATTCGCAAGGAATATGCTTCCTTGGGAAGGTACTTCATATAGGCAGTTGTTTTACCACATTCCTACATATTACGGGAAGCATTTTTAAGATGAGTTATTTTATATGCCATATCCACTCAACAAATATGCTGTTGATGGTATCGCATGGGTTTTCTTGGAAACTTGACCTATTAATGAAAGCCAAGCAAATTGATACCCGTTAGGCCGATAACTATAACTAATGTATAGTTAAGTTTACTTTGCATGTAACTTTGTCCTTTAGCATGTAAATAACTTGTTAATTTGGATAGAAAACGAAGTATCCTTCATTTGAAATTCATTTTAGAACTTTCTAGTGTTAGCTTTGACCCCATCTAAACTTCCATTCTTTTTTGCTATCCTTTCCGTTTCCAGTGGCCATTTTAAAATTTATACATGCTTAATCTTTAAAAGTTGAACCTGGTCTTAGGATTGGCTCGAGATTGCATTCATCTTAGAGCTCTTCTTTTCGTAGATAAAATTCAGCGAATTTGTTGCAAGACATATTGGGGAGATGGAAGGTATAATACTGGAAGCTGAGACAGGAGATTTCCTCGGCACTCATCGTGGATTCTGGTTCTACACAATTGGCCAACGACAAGGCCTACGCCTTCCTGGGGGACCCTGGTATGCTTTGCCAGATTGTTTATATGCACTAGCTGGTAAACAATTAACAAGCCAACCAATGACATCTGTAAAAATGGCAATTCCTAATTGGGCCTTGTGTACAGTAAAGGAAATACATTGACCAAGAGTTTTGCACGTAACACTATGGCTGTGGCAACATTAACTTCACATTATGTTTTAAATAGGATATAATGTGATGTTCTAAATTTCTAATAATGGAATTTGCCAAAATCCTTTCTCAACCACTGTTAACTTTGTGCATCTAAAGATGCCGTATTTCTGCTCTAATATTTTTTTTCGAATCTTGTTTTTTGAATCATAATGCCATGGTTTATTTTTTGTTGGGCTCTTTGTCATCCACTTTGCTTGCTTAAGGCATTTCCAGTTGATGTGTCTTATGCAGGTATGTTGTTGAGAAGGATGTTAAAAACAATGTAGTATTTGTGTCAAGAAATTATTTCTCATTAGACAAAAGAAGGCGTTCATTCTGTGTTGGCTCCTTGAGATGGCTTAGCGGGTCTCTTCCTGAAGAGACTAGTCAGCTTCAGTGTAAGGTAGAAGAATTTTGTTTCAGATAATTCATTATTGATAAACGATGTTGCACATTTCCCTCCATGAATATTTGTCTTTCCATTCAGTTGGCACCCTGTTGTCATATATATCCTACATTTGAGTCATCTATGCCTTGCCTTGCCTTGCCTATTAGAGTGTCTTGCTCTCAGATGCCTAATATCTCGAAGCTCAACTCTCTTTCAAACTTTTCAGGTGAGACATGGCCCTTCATTTTATGATTGCAGCGTGAAGATAAAACTTGGTGAAGATGGCCATGAAGAGGTTGCAGTTGTTCACTTGTGTGAAGATGATCAAGGTCTAGCAGCAGGGCAGTTTACAGCTTTCTACGAGGGAAGAACTTGCATAGGTTCTGGCGTGATTTTGGAGTCCTGGAATGATAAAGGATTTCCTGTATGCCAAAAGGCTCTTGAATTAGCAAGATTAGAAGATAAATCAAAGCTTGGGAAACCAGTTAAGATAATGGTAAAACCAGAGACTTCTGGGAAGGAGTCGGTTCAAAAGGATGGTCTAGAACTTGATAAAGGATTAGCTGAATCCAAGGTTGCTGTCACAAGTTAGAGAAGTCGGACATCCTAGTAAATTGGTTGCAGAATATGAAATAGAGTTGGTTGTAGATATTCCAATCTTGAAAAAACTTGAAGAGAATTTACAAGAGTTAATAAATAGTTCTTGCATGTTAAAGTGTAGATTTAGCACGCTCTTTCCAATCAACCCTCAGTCGGCGGAGGTCCCAGGGCATGCTTGCAAGAAAAGGCAGTTGTTTCCTAGAGGCAACCGGCACTGTGACCTGCAGGGCTGTGTAATTATAACATTTTTGACGGAGTTCCGAATGTATCACGAAAATAATCAATTTAAAAGTACACGAAATTCTTGTATGCTATGACATGACTACTTACACATCCTCTAGATTAATGGTTAAACAAATTAATGCTACTACTAGGAATATTACTACCACCAGAGACCACTTATCTAAATCCCTCAACAACTGAATAATTTCTTGAGCTTTTCGTTAGCTAGATTTTTTCTGTATAATAGAATGCTGTCAGAATTTTACAAACTTTAAAATGTATTATTCAAAATGGATAGTAATGACACTTCTAGAAAAAAACAAACAAAAATTAAAAAGTATGTTTTTTTTTTTTTTAAGATGTCAATTGTAATCTAGTCTTTGTAGTTTATTGAAATTAATTAATTAGCACACATATGGCATCGGAAATAGTTAAATAATCTCTTGACTACATCGAGCATCCTCTTTTCATATATATATATTTTTTTCCAAAAATACACTCTTTCCTAGTCAAAGTTTTTCATATGCCTACCTCTCTTTTTTTTTTTTTTAATTCTATTTTACCAAAAAAAAAAAAAAAAAATTACAAAGAGCATGAAATTGATGCATGACTAGGTTATAAGTAGATTGAAAAATATAGAGATTAAATATATAGTTTTTGAAACTATGATGATAAATTAATTGTTAAATTATTAAGTGAACCAAACCGTATATAATGTTTTGGAAGAAGATAAACCCCCGCCAAACCTTCATTTCTTTCTTCCATCTCCAAAAATGTCAGCAGCTGGAGTGAGCAAGCTCTTCTTCTACACAAAACCCTCCTCCTTTTCCTTTCCTCTCCCTCTCAAAACAACTTTCCTTTCCTTTCTCTCTTCACCTAATCCTTCCCTTTCCTTCCAAATTCCTCTATCTTCTCTCTCCTTTCCCAAATTAACCGCTCTCAAATCCTCCACCAACACCATTCAACATTTCGAAGACGACGACGACGACGAAGATATCGATACCGAAACAGAAATCGTTGAATACGACAGTGAAATTGATGACTCTATCGATACGGACGAGCTCGAAAAAGAAGCTAAATTAGCCGTTAAAGAGTACTCTAGCTCCCTGTCTCGCGAATTAACAATCGGTGATGCCTTTCTTTCTTTAAGTTTATCTATATAATTCTCTATCTATACAATTCTCTAATGAAATTCATATCTTATTTTTATGAATTTTTTTTCCAGAAAATGAGACTGACGAGAAAAGAGAAACTAGGAAGCAGAAGCGAAAAAAGCTACTTCTAAAGATGTTTGTTAACTGCTCTCTTTTTTCTTCTAATTTATAAGAGTTCGTTTCCTTTTTTCTTCTAATTACTAGAATTAAATTTGTACTATTAATTTTACTTTTCTTGTCTCCCATTACTTTTTGGTGAGGTGTACAAAATGGGAATTTAGATGTTAAAAAATGAAACGTATATTTTGTCCAAATGAGTGTGAAATTGATTAATTTACTGCAGAAATGTGGAAATTTTAAGTCCAAAAAGGGAAGGGTTTTTTTCTTTGTCCCTTAGCGAGAGAATACTTTGTTGGTCTTCATTGACTTGTAACACTTGAATATCTATCTGCAGATCCCTGACCATCTCCTTCCGAAAGTTACAATTGTTGGACGGCCAAATGTCGGTAAATCAGCGCTATTTAACCGTCTTGTTGGGGTAATTTAACCATTCATGTCGGGGCATCTATTTCTTTTTAATTTAATTTAATGTAAGTACAATTTGAATAATCAGGAATTAGAATTTGGAAGTTGTACAAGCATTATTATCACCAATGTTGATTTGAGTGTCACAAATTGTAGGGGAATAGGGCAATTGTGGTGGATGAACCTGGGGTTACTCGGGACCGTTTGTACGGTAGATCTTTTTGGGGAGAATATGAATTTATGGTGGTGGATACTGGAGGTGTTGTCACTGTATCAAAGTCGCAAGCTAACGTTATGGAAGATTTGGCTATCTCAACAACCATTGGCATGGATGGGATTTCACTTGCCTCGAGGGAAGCAGCAGTTGCTAGAATGCCCTCTATGATTGAGAAACAAGCAACTGCAGCTGTGGAAGAATCATCTGTCATTATATTCCTTGTTGATGGCCAGGTACAGCATTCCTTGTTTTTTCAGATAATGACAAACAAAAGAAGAAAAAAGAAAATGTGGTTGTGAAGGTAGATGCATGCATTCCTTGCTGTTTTTAAATTAATAACTTTTCTTTCCTGTTTTTTCAAAATGTGCATTACGAACAATTTATTGAAAGGAGAATAAGACTCACTAAATTTGTCGTATTTCTATTGCACCATTACCTTCTTTGTGTTCTGTATGAATTTGCTATTTTCTTTTCTATTTTACCAATAAGCAAATGTGGTTTCTGTTTACCATCAGTGACATAAATAAAAATCCTGAACAGGCAGGTCTAACAGCAGCTGATGAGGAGATAGCAGACTGGTTGCGCAGGAACTACTCAAACAAGTGTGTCATCCTGGCAGTGAACAAGTGTGAATCTCCACGCAAAGGAATCATGCAAGCATCAGAATTTTGGTCGTTGGGGTACCCCATCTTTAATTTCTATTTATGTCTCTCTCAAAATTGTGAATCTTTCTGTTATTCATGAATGCATGGCATTTATTACCGTAAGTTACCTGAAAATCCCACTATGTGTTTCCTGTGAGTTTTGTATCAGTGGTGAAGCTTCTTTTGTGAATGTACATATCATCTTGTACTTCTTAGATTGTGGTGTTTGTTCTGCAAAGTGTGTTCAGGGGAAGCATTTCCTTAAATTGTGGTGTCAACTTTTATCACAATAATTGTAGAAGTTAACCTGTCATTCCAGACACCAGGAACCCATAAGCCCATTACTAATACAATTCGTTAGTGACTTGGTGCACCCAACTAACACATTAACCCCTCAGGCTTTCATAAGTCTTAGCAGATAGAACTTCTGAGATTTTATGCGGGTGGGCTGCCATTTTTTCCCTCCTGTGCATGTTATGATTATGGATCAAAATAATTGGTGGTTATGAATTAGGCTGAAATTTATAAGTAGTGAACCTAGATAACTTGTTTCCTTTGCATATTTCATTTTGATAAACAGAGTGTGCACTTTTTGATTGTCCAACCAGGTTCTCACCACTTCCTATTTCTGCGGTATCGGGGACAGGAACTGGAGAGCTTCTTGATCTTGTGTGTTCCAGACTGGGAAAAGTTGAGGTTAGCAATTTCAACTTTAATGCTTAAATCTTTTGTTATGACAAAAATATTTCCAGTGCTTACATTTTATACGTATCTTGAAGGTTTTCTTGTGTTGCTCATCTTTCTTAATTTCACTTGTTTATTTGTTAAAAAAAAAAAATGAATGGTGTGTTTGATTCTGTTGCAGGGTTCCGAAAATCTTGATGAAGAAGAAAATTACATCCCTGCCATTGCAATTGTTGGTCGGCCAAATGTTGGTAAAAGTAGCATTTTGAATGCATTGGTTGGAGAGGATAGAACGATTGTTAGTCCTGTCAGTGGCACTACCCGTGATGCTATTGATACTGAATTTGTAGGACCAGATGGCCAGGTTTGTTTAGTTTTGAATCGTATCGGTAGTTTGATACTCATGTAATGGTTTGAGAAAGCAGATTTTTCCTTGAAATTATTCAAAACAAAACCACTTTACTGGAAAATTATCCCCAAAGGGCATGAACAATGCTTATTGGTTCAGAGCATGTTCATTCCAAGCTCTTTATTCTCTCATTTGTTGCATAAATAAAAACAGGTCTAGATATTTTTATTTGATTGATACTTCTCTTCCATTTTGTTTTCAATGTTTAAAAAGAGTGGAGCGCAAGCAGGTTAGCCATGTCTTTGACCTTGGCTTACTTGCACTGGACATAAAATTCTTGAAGTACCTCATTTCATGATAAAAAAATTGAGGACTCTGTTTGTCATTATTTTCTTTATCTTGCTTTGCTTTTAAGTAACATCATATATGATGTAATAGGCTGATAGCTACTTGTTTGCAGAAGTTTCGGCTTATTGATACAGCTGGCATCAGAAGGAGGGCAGCAGTAGCTTCATCAGGTAGTGTGACAGAGGCTTTATCAGTGAATCGAGCATTTCGTGCCATTCGCCGTTCCGATGTCGTTGCTCTTGTCATTGAGGCCATGGCTTGTATCACAGAACAGGTACTTCTTTAGCATTGTAATGATCTGTATCATCTATACTCCAAAAGAAGGTGAAATTTGAAGATGTAGGACAGCTTTGGAAAATCCTTGGACAAGAATCTATTTTGTTTAACTGAGAATTCTGCAAGCAAGTAGCTATCAGCCTTTTGTTTAGTAGTTAGATTAACCAAAAGGTCCGCAAACAAATAACAATCAGCATTCTACTATTGAAATATAGAAAAATCATCTTACATAGGTAGTTATAATATCAGGAGTTTCAGACTCGTCTTGCTGGAGCTGGTGCTTGTAAACAGGAGAAGTATTGATAATTTAAAAAAGACTGACTGAATATGGAAGTAAACTCAATTTTAAATTCAAAAAACTTCTGAATATCAATTCCATATGTATAAATAAGAAATCTCTACATTACTGCAGTCAACTTGTTTAGTATTTATTTATATTTATATGTTCGACAAAGTTGCATCTGGGAGCTATAACCAAGTGGGCTTAAGGTTTATAGCCAATATAGGATCACCACTCACATGTCGATGGAATTGTATTTTTTACCTACATAAAACAAAGATAATAAAAAATATCCCAAAGAAAAGTGGTTGCTGCCTTTACATGGTGGTATAAACTATGGATACAATTAACACTTGCATACTGGCATCACAATCAAGTGTTGGGTATTCTATGTAAGCTTTGAGAGCTTAAGTATGATAACTTAAAATTCATGTTAATGATCCGAGTCAGTTCTGAATCAGGAAGGGATGTTTTTCCTTTGTATGGATTTCTAGTACTCATTTCCCCCGTCTTTAACTGCGATTCTTATTGATTCCTGGAAATCTTTTTTCATTTCAATTATCTTTTTAGTTGTTCTGAATCAGCAAGGGATGTTTTTTCTTTGTATGGATTTCTAGTACTCATTTCCCCCGTCTTTAACTGCGATTCTTATTGATTCCTGGTAATCTTTTTTCATTTCAATTATCTTTTTCTCATTTCGATTGTCTGTGTTTTCTTTTTCCTGAATGATATAGGATTACAGGATTGCTGAAAGGATAGAGAAAGAAGGAAAGGGTTGCCTGATTGTGGTGAACAAATGGGATACGATACCCAATAAAAATCAGCAGACTGCAACATACTATGAACAAGATGTGAGGGAGAAGCTTCGTAGTCTTCATTGGGCTCCTATCGTTTACTCAACTGCAATTGCTGGCCATAGTGTTGAGAAGTATGCTATGACCTAACGCCGACAGTATATTTTATTTCTTAATGACTTACAGTCCAGTTGATAATTATAACGAAACTTACACTTCTCTAAACCCATTTGACTAGATGTTTCTCAAACTGTGATTTATATGGGCAGTATTTATTCATCGATGGAAAATAATACTATACAATAAATAGAAAACTGCCTGGATAACGTCATGAAAACCTCTCGGTGCCTCATCAGTATTCAGTTTAACCCACCCACTGCCATTCAATTGTGGCAGGTAATAGGGAATCTGGGGTTCACTTATAGTGTAGTTTCTACTGGAGAATTATTGGAATTTTATTGCAAGAACTGGAGTTATTTGTGTTCATTGGTGGTGCTATTGCTTCGGCAAGCATGTTGCCTCTTCCATTGTTCTTTAAAAACTCATGAGACCGCTGGTTATGGCATGAGTTTTCTGTTAGCACACAAGTGAATGAGCCACTAGAAATTGCATTTGCTAATATTCAGATGGTAGTGAATGAATCTTGATTTTAAATAAATAAAAGTTGCTTGCCATAAGAGAATGCATGATTAAGACATATTGACATATAATTCAGTGTTCTCGTGTTCCTAGCATGGTGATTTCAATCTGAAAGTTGTTAGCTCTCTTAAGAATATCTGTTTTTCCCCCCTCACATCTCCTTGGGTGGAAATTATGTAATCCTTACTTTGATTTCAGGATCATTGTTGCTGCTAGTACAGTTGAAAAGGAAAGATCAAGAAGGCTAGGTACTTCAATACTGAATCAAGTGGTACAAGAAGCATTGGCTTTTAAACCCCCTCCAAGGACGCGAGGCGGCAAGAGAGGGCGTGTTTATTACTGCACTCAGGTACTTTTGTTGTGCAGTAGTATAGGCTGTAATGTCATGCAAGTCATTATCCTTGATGACTTTTGTCTGTTTCTTTGTGCTCCTTTCCCTCGTTTCCATACCTCGATACGTCTGAGCCAGTTAGTCCCAGATCTTATTCTAATTGTTGTTTCCTCAGAAGAGTAGATTTTTATAAGAAGAGAGAGGCTTTTTAGGTGCCCAACCTTTGATTTTTTTTTTTCTATTTTGGTGTCTAATCATTGATTTCCAATTATTTGCTACCCAAGCTTTGATTTTTTGTTTGTTTTGGTGCCACACTTCACCCGAGGTTTAATTTTGATGATGTGTCCAACGAGAGCTACCACGTGGTAGTCAAAAAGCGTCATATGGTAGTCAACTCCAAATACATCAATACCTCATGCTCTAAGGTGGTTGTGGGCACTCAAATAGGAAAAAAAAAAAAAAAATCAAAGATTAGGCATTGAAATTCAAAAAAAAAAAAAAAAAACGTTAGGCCTAAATAGAAAAAAATAAAGTAAAATCAATGGTTGGACACTAAAAATGTAGTTTTCTTTAGAAATTTATTTCAGTTTTCTCACTTCAAATGTTTATTCCTTTCTTGTACTCGATCTATTTCTTCCTTATTATAGATATAGATCTCATGCATATCTTGTACTTCCATAATCTTTATATATATGTGTGTGTGTGTGTGTGTATATATATATATGGTCTCTCAAAACTTCTTTTTAGATATTAAAAATGATATAATTTTAATATCTAATAATATCAGCAATTACATGCATGTTTTCTTGTTATTATGCTAATTGCACAAGTAATTTTAACAATGCATTCTTTTTTTAGCATAATTTATACTTTACTTATTACCTCTATCATTACCATTACCGCTACCAAAAGTATTGCACTTTAAACGCTCAAATGAAAAAACTTGACTACTAAACTTATTCATCTTGATTTTATCTCATCTTAGTCTACTATAAAAAGCTTAGTAAGTTATTGGCCACAAAAAGCTTATGTCACCCATTACATGTTAGTCGATCTTCTCTTTAGAAAGAAGAAACAATATTTGTTTTTTTTAAAAAAAAAAAATTAATTTCTATATCGACCAACCATTTGTTGCACAAATGACAATCATAATTGAATTTTATATGTCTTTTATTTTTTTGAATTTACCTTTAATTGGATTTTATATGTATTTAAACTAAATGATATAATATTAAATTTGTACGAACGACTAAAGAGATTATAATTTTTAAAAAGTAATTTTTAAGCGATACAAAATATTAAAAAAAAACCTTTGATAAGTAAAAAAATACCACGAGCGTGATATGAAAAATATTTATCAGAAATTATTGGATTGATTTTGCAATATTGAAACGATAAATTTTGGGAAAAACTATTTTTTGGTGCCCAACCTTTAAATTTTTTTTTTTTTTTCAATGCGTAACTTTTGATTTTTTTTTCTTATTAGAGTGCTCATAGCCACTTTAGAGTATGAGGTACTCATGTGTCTGGAGTTGACTGTCACGTGGCACTTTTCGACTGCCACGTGACAGCTATTGACGGATACGTTATCAAAATTGAATCTCGGGTAAAGTCGGGCACCAAAACAAACAAAAAATCAAAACTTGGGTAGCAAATCATTAGAAATCAATGGTTAGGTACAAAAACAGAAAAAAAAAAAAAAAAAATCCAAAGGTTAGGCACTAAAAAAGCCTCTCTTACAAGAATGTAAAGGGTTATGTCCTTCTGCCGAAGCATGACCTGTATATGCAGGGAACATGACAAATGATGTTCATTAGAGATATCCTTTTGCAGGCTGCTATCAGGCCACCCACATTTGTTTTCTTTGTAAATGATTCAAACCTTTTTCCTGAGACTTACCGACGCTATATGGAGAAGCAACTACGTACAGATGCTGGATTTGCTGGTACGCCAATTCGACTACTTTGGCGTAGCAGAAGAAAAATGGAAAAAGATGAAGGTAAGTACGAGACTCGTATTGTTAATAAAGATATATGGATGATATTTTCTTGTTTATGCTGGCTAACTTTGTTAACAAGATAAGGCACACCCTTTTCCTTCTATTCAAAACTGATAAACTTAAAAGATGAGCTCAACAATCCGAAAAAACCAACCTCGTTTCACATGTCTCCAGCTCTTCTATGCACATGCATGATTGCTGGCACAATTTTGCACACGGCATGCTGGTCTTCTGATTTATACCTCAAGTTCCGTTTGTTCATATTCATATGCATGCCAAAGAAGAAAATGTAGCCAGAAAGTACGATTTTTTTTTTACTGGTAAAGTGCTCAGTGCAAGTGTGCAACCTTATTTAACTGATCAGGTCAATTGATTTTTCTTTCATTGGTTCTCAGTCAAGGGTGCAACAAGACCACAATTTAATCTTGCACCACGCAGTGGAAAATTGGCAGTAGCTACATGAAGATATAAAGTCTTCGACGTCTTGATCATGGTTGGGATTTCACTTGTGACGAATGAACATTGCTATCAGGATAAGTTTATGCCAACTGCGAAAATCTTCCAATGGCATGGAACTTCTAGTTGTCACATGTTTAAGGAGAATGCCAAGGTACTTGTATTTTTCTGTTGTATATTATTGTCTTGCCCTACTTGGGACTTTGTTACAAGCTTTTAATCATTGCAAGGAACCAAGGGGCAGGGTGGATAAAAAAATTGCCAAATCTTGCAAATCTTATGTCTCTGACAATGATAATGGTGATGATTGTAAACCAGTGCAGTTGTGGATTGGTTCTGAAGCCCAGCATGTGGTGGATCTGATTGGTAACATTTTGGCATATTGACAAAAATGAGATACATTACAATTTGTTGAGGATATTTTATTGACATTGGTTGTTCGTGCTTTTTGTTAGTAAATGACCAGTCGAAAGGTGGTGGGGGTTGAAAATTTATTGCAAACAAGCAATAGAAAGGCCCCGCAATAAAATAAAGAAAAAATGGTTTGCTACTTTGCTTTCCAACCACACATATGCTATATCTTATGTCGGTGCCCCAAACTGATTATGATTGCAATGGAAGATTAGTGTTGATGCTTTCGATCGTAAGTAATTTCATGTCGATGCTCATTAGTTTTAGCCATACCTTTACCTGGCATCCAGCTATTCCATGGATGGACACTTAGGTTAGCGTTTTAAACACTATTTATTAGGTGGGATTGAGGAAGAGATGGATGAAGAGGGAGGAAGGATTTTCCCTTCGTTGACAATAAAGATGAAGATCCAAAGAAGGAACAGAAGGATTGGCTCGCTTTGTTTGATCTTTCTAATCATTCCTCACTTAATTTTCAATCTCTTCAATTTGGATTGGATTGATTCTAGAATGCTTCTTCTTTTTTCACTTATCCAATCAATCCTTTCTCTATTCATCTCTCCCTGTAAACAAAATTAATTACATTGAATTTTAATACTACAATTTATTCGTAAACAGTCCACATGTGGATATTATAAGTTCCTAAGTATTCGATAGTAAATCTCATGTTAGAAAAATCCAGTAGTCCAAGTGTTTCAGTTTAGATTTTGCTAGTACAAAAAGAGTTTATGTGGAATTTATTGGTAAGTTCCAGCGTATCAATAGTACCTCTGTTTCGGTAAATTTAGGTAAGGAAAGAGATGGGAGGTTTGAAGAGTGAAAATCACAGTTCATCCCCTCACAAGTCACCAGTTTTAGACCATAGATGAGTGTGGCATTTTGTGCTTTTTCAGCTGTTTTTTAACATTTATATCAAAAGTTTACATAGCATTTTATTTTGGTCCTTAGAGTTATAAAATAAAAATTTAATCCCTTGAACTATTTGGTATGTCGGCCTGTTGCATTAGACTATAGCGAAGTGAGCCTCTATCCCGGTGAGAACAAGCAACTTGAAGCCAAGGCATGTAGCGTGGACAACCTTACTCTACAATAATGCTTAGGCCTTTCATCCATCCATACCAGTCAAGCAAGTCAACATCCTCTACTTCTAACAACCTCCCACTTAACCTATTTATTAAGCCCCTCCCCTCCGGAGAGAGCTCTATTTATTTACGTATTCCAATCTCCCAGTAGCGCAATCATCAAGCTCACCGCATTCGCATTCATAGAGGTCCTTCGCTTTAGCTTACCGCCTACTCAATCAACATTCAAAGACTGTAGCTAACCTGTGATTAATGTAGAAAATAAATACATAAAAGAGAATAAATCATTTTTAACTATAAAATTTATTTAAAAAGGAACAATTTATAAAATTAGATTAAATTTCATTTTTTATTTAATATATTTTTATTACATCAAATTAAAACGAATATTATTAATTTGATGCATAACGTAGCATGAGAAGACAATTAGTTCATTTTTAAAGGGTGAGGAGGCCAACAACAAGAAAGGGTGGGGAACTAGTTTGAGATTTGACCTACCTAATAGTTTAAATGGAGATATATTATTTCCTCTAATTAGTAAAAAAAAAAAATGCCCCTTTGATAAAACTCCTCGAGTACAACTTTTCTACCTTAAGATGGCACCGTGAGTTGGTGAACTATGCATATAAATTATAATAAATACTTCAATAATGGAAACAAGTGGCAGTCAACCAAGTCGATTCTCCATCTTCGTTTTTTTTTGCTTTTCAAATCAATACAGTCCGTAGTGTTGGCAGGTGGGTTTGCTAGCTTTAAATTCTCTTGCTCCTACACCTTTCAATTCCAAACCGAAACTGGTCCCTCTCGTAAAAAAAAACGAAACATGTGAGGTATTTTAGTTGAAACTAGTTAGATATGCAAGTTACACTATAATTAAATAATCGTTATATATTTAGAATTAATAATTTATATGATGCAATGTGAATAAAAATTTTATTTTTTATGGTTAATGTAAATCGAAAATCTATATATTAAGTGAAATTATTTGATTTATATATATTTGTTAACAAAATATTTACTAATATTAGCATAAAAATTTATATTTGAATAATTTGGAGGTTCTTTCAAAACATTATCTAACTTATTTTATTTAAAAAAATTAGAATATAAAAAAATAAATAAATAATAATTGATATTATGTGTGTAGATATATAGTTAATTTCTAAGGATATATATATATATCATACTTAACGATTCGAGTATATAGAATAAATAGAAAAAATATACAAAAAAAACTCACATAAACTCGTATGAAATATATTGAGGTCAATAGATTAAATAAAAGCTATAACAAAATTGATTCTTATAAATTTTGAATAAATATATATATATATATGTGTGTGTGTGTGTGTGTGTATGTGCGTGTGTGCATACTCAGATTCGAATATATAGAATAAATAAGAAAATAAATAAAAAAATCTACCTTGTATGAAATATATTGAAGTCAATAAATTAAAATAAAACTTGTAATATATATATATATATCTTTTCAACATCAAATGTTTACAACTTCTGTATAGACCCGGCATTTATTAATGGGGCAGAAGCTTCAATCAATCCATTAGATGATGGAGCCATCTTTTTTTTCAAAAAAAAATTAATAATTAGTTTAAAAAATTTACAAGTTTTATATCTTTTCAACATCAAATGTTTACAACTTCTGTATAGACTTGGCATTTATTCATGGGACAGAAGCTTCAATCAATCCCTTAGGTGATGAAGCCATCTTTTTTTTAAAAAAAAATTAATAATCGATTAAAAATATTCATAAGTTTTATATATATTCAACATCAAATGTTTACAACTCATGTATAGACCCCACATTTATTAATGGGCAGAAGCTTCAATCAATCCATTAGGTGATGAAGCAATCTTTTTTTTTAAAAAAAATAATCAATTAAAAAAATTCATAAGTTATATATATATATATAAAAGATTCAAAAGTTGTAAAACCTTGTGTATGTAGATCTAATCTTGTGTATGTAGATCTAATGCAAATACAGAGGCCTATACATCTTCTTGGACACCTGTAATTTGTTAATAAATTAGTATCAAAATCATAATATAAAAAAGGAAAAAAAATGTATGTATCTATATATGGGTTGATTATGCAATGGCATAAACTTTTAGGATGATAATCCATTTTTTTATCAGTCCTGCTATGCACCGTACAAACACGGAAACCATAAATCTTTTCAAACACAAGCAGCTATCTAGCAATAAAGAGTAGCCTTATATGCATGTACAGGTAGAAGTGGTCCATTGCTGTATCTCCCTGTCAACTTTTTATTTCGGTAGTTATGGAAGCTGATGATAGGTAAACATCACTATTTACTCAAACCCAATAGGATGGTGACATGAGTGAAAACCTAGGCTTAAGGCTATTGTTTGAACTTTAGAAAATCAATGAATAAAACAAACTGTCTAGACTACCAGAACAACTACTTAGGATCAAGGCTCTGTTCTTTGTTTGAGCCGACCATGGAGTTCCGACAGCAAGCTCGAGCGCCTGAGGAATGGGGATAAAGCCATGCCAAGTTCGGGGCGTTTGAGGCTTAGGATCGATTTCCAAGAATCAATCGATCCCGACTCCATTCTCAAGCACTTGTTTAATTTTAGTTTCATTACATCATGCTTGGTAAATTTGACAAGGACATAAAAAATGTAAAGATCGATTTAATACCTTTGCATAAGGATGAGTTGTACATTCTTATCAATGATTTGTATCTTTTATGACGTCATGTAGGAAGAAACAAGTAAAGTTACGGCTAATTGAATAAAAAAAATTTCATGAAAAAACTGAAACAAACTACCATGAGACAAAAAAAATTTCTTTCTAAAAAAATTCGATCCAGAACTATTTTACGTGGAAGGTTTAATATTTCTTAATTATTATTGTTACTCGACATACGAGACTTTTAGATTTAAAAAAGTTAAAAAAAAAAGAAGAATTGTCACCTAATACTCTAAAGCAACTAAAAAACTTAAATTATTAATCTTTTAAAAACTATGAATAAAGAGTCGATTATATTAATTGAAAAGATAATAATCACATACGACATCTTTTTCTTAGAAAGGTTATTTAACTTTTTTATTTCTAAATCATTTCCTAAAGTATTAATTTGCCATAATAGTTACAAGCTTATTTTTGAGTTTATTGTTTACTTTAAATAATTTTATCAATTTTGGTCTAAGAAGTTATTTTATAGTACACTAAATTGATCATGATTTATTGTGAAATTGTATTAAAGTATCATCGGAACCTAAGATAAAAAGTCGTATTAATTTAGTATAAGATATTATAATAGTCATGTCACGACTCTCATGTTAGAAACTAATTGATAGTTTTAAAAATATTAAAAGATTAAGTTTTATAGTGAAATCTTGTTGAATTGATATTATATCCTAAAATTAGAAATTATTTCAATTTAATATAAGATTCGATTAAAGTTCTAACATAATTGTCATGTTAGAAACAAAATGATAGAATTTAAATTATCTAAGTTTATTTGATTTTAACGTTGAATTTAATTAAATTTTATTATCATTTGGATTCGGAGTAATATAATATTCTAGGGTATTAGTATTGAAAATTAAGATTACCCTAAATATTTAAGATGTGAATATGAACTCTAAATAAATTAAAAAAAAATTAATTAAATTTACTACTAATAATAATAACATTTAATTATGTAATATTAAAAAAAATCAGAAGAACACTAAAAAATTCTTTAAAAAATTTAAAATATTTTACATAATTAGGAAAAATGCTTGTTTATAACATACCAAAATTTTAAATTTTTATCATGTTAGAAACTTGCCCAATTTACATTTAAATCAAACCAGCTCCTAGTTCTCATTATTTGATTATGTAGTATTAAAAAAAATTAGATGAATACTAAAACATTCTTAAAAAAAATTCTAAAATTTGGTACATAATTAGAAAACATGCTTAGTTCTAACATATCAAAATTGTGTATTTTTATCATGTCATAAACTTTCTCAATTCATAATTAAATCACATTAGCCTCTAGTTCTTATTATTTGATTATGTAGTATTAAACAAAGAAAATTCAGATGAACACTCAAAAATCTTTAAAAATCTAAAAATTTGGTAAATAATTAGGAAACATGCTTATTTACAACATACAAAAAATATAGATTAAAATGACATCAAAATCTTACAAAATCATAATTAAACAAAGCAATCCCTATTTTCTAAAATAATTTCAATTAAATCCTTTTTGTGTGTTTTGTCAAGTAATTAACTTGTAACCCTGACCAATTAACTAATTTATTAACCCAAGTCATGGTATTTTCGTATTGTTATATCAAATTAAGGAATAATGATATTTATAAAGAAATCACAACTAAAACATGGATTGATACATAAGAACGTGAGTGAAACAGAGACTAAAGCAAATTGTGCCTAAAGACAATTTAATATATTCCAATCAGACCATTATAAATCCGAAATAGGAATATAATTGAAAACTTATTTTTCATAAAATGCTAAAATAAAACAAACAATCAATTGTAAGGACTAAAGTGTAAAACTCATGCTAAACTCACGAGCATGAACCCAAAATGTTCATTTTTGTTGGTCACATTTTTATTATTTCATCCGTGAATTGCACGGTCAAAACCAAGAGGAAAATGACCTCAAAACGATAAATTTAAACAAAAAGTGTATACGAACATATCTTCTACATATAGAAAATGAAATTAACGAATTTGGTTGGAGGGTTGCTGCTAAAAGCTAGTCCAAAGTCAACCCCACAAGCTGCCCAAATTGCCAAAAAAAAAAAAAAAAAAAAACTTTTCCAGATTTTTACTCTTTTTTTTGGTCTATTTATGCAGTACTTTCTTTTTTCTTGTTTATTTTTTGTTCTTTGGCTACCTCTAATATTTATAGAATTATAGTGTGAAAATGATCAAAGGTTGGTGGCATGATTTTAACCTATCATTATGGATATTAAGGGATATCATGAAGTGATTTTTAGATAGAGATTAAAGCTTGTTGAGAAAAATGTCTAGGCTTGTGTTAGGGCTGGATATCTAGCCTAATAATAGAGTAGAAATTCGGAGCAACAGGGTTCGAAAAGAAGAAGAAGCAGAAAAAGAAGAAGAAGGAAGGAAGAAGAAAGAAAAAGAAAAAATATAGTTAAAAATTTAACCCATGCGAGACTCAAAGATATCTTCTTTTTAATTTTTCTTTAAATTTTGTTCAAAAAAGTCAAATTTTGGATTATGACAGATATTTTCTTTTTATAATACTTACGATGTAAAATTAATGAAAATGCAAACTTTGGTTCGCTTTGTTTAGTAAGCTTATAAGGAAAAAATTTGAAGAGAAATAAAATAAAATGTTCAGGGCAATTTATCTCTTATAGGTCTATCATTGGGAGTGACCAGTGTTTTATAAATCTGTTATTATGAGTAAAAATACTTATATAGTCAAAACTTTAAATAATGTATTTTCTTAAACTATCTCTAATTGATAAAGAGAGTCAATATTTTCTTTTATTTAATGTTCTTCATTAACAAAAAAATCAATATTTTTAATACTTTTTTGTCATACATATAAATATTATTAACATAAAAATTTCAAATGAAAATTTTTTGTTATATGAAAAATATTTATTCTTGTAGCGTCGCCTTACTACATGACAAAATTTTGAGAGTAAAATATTTTTATTAATATATTATTTTTTTATTATTTTAAACTTGATCGAAAGCTAATTAGCTTAATGATTTTTTTCATTTACTACTTTAATTTTGAATGGATTTTCTATTTAAACTATAATGTTAATTCTATATGATACAGAATTAAATCTCATAATTAATAATTTAAAATATATATATATATATATATTAGAAAAATATGAACAAAAATATGTTGATATATAACATAATAATTAATAATTTTTTTGAATAGTTTGAAAAGTTAAAGGGAATGGTTTTTTTTTTTTTTTTTTTTTTTTTTTTTTTAGGAACAAAGGAACTATATATATATATTTTTTCTTAATGAAATGCTGAGTTTCCAACTTTTTCGCTAATTATTGTTCCTAACTTGACTGTCAAATTAAAATATAAAAACAAGGTGTCCCACTTTCCATCTGATACAATATTTTTGATACATGGATGAACAACAAATTAAACCCCCTGCTGAGGCTACATCACTAGATTTATTGCAACTTATTACACACCTATTCTTTATGAAGCCACACCAACTTGGTTGGAGAAGAATCAAGCATATACATATACACAGGCACACATATTTCCAACGTTGGAGGTCAAGGAAGTATAGTTTTCTTTGCTAACTAGAGAAATATGGAGGGCTTGGAGAGTGATTTGGAGGACATGAGACAGTATTTTAGGAGTGGAAAGACCAAAGATGCAGCCTGGAGGCAGTCTCAGCTTAAAGGGTTACTCTTGTTTATGAAGGAAAACGAGAAAGACATCTTCAAGGCTTTAAAGGAAGATTTAGGAAAGCATCATGCTGAGGCATACAGAGATGAGGTATGTTGTTTCTTAATTAATTTGCTGTGAAATGTTTTTTTAAAAAAATTATTTGTTGATCCATAAATGATCGCTAGCTCTCCTATTACTCCATTTTCTCTTAGTTAAATTTTATCATGCGGGTTTGCAGGCGTATATATAGATAATGCTACATAAATAAACAAATTGTAGTATTTTTCTTACACAATTAATGATTTTATGGCTGATTTTTTTTTTTTATGCTTGGCTTACTTTTATTTTCATATTTCTAGAACTCACAGTTTATCATTTATTAATTATTTTACACGTCATTTGAACAGAATTTAGTATGATTTGTTTGTTTTGAAATCATTTTTCTTACAAATAGTGGTACCCCAAATGTAAATGAGTACCACTATTTCTTAATTCTTACGATCGGAAATGTTTTTAGTTCTGAAAAAAGAAAAAAATCGTACTCTGGAAATCTAAAGAACGTTAAAATGTGGACTGTTTTTGCAGATAGGGACCTTGAGAAAATCCATAAATTTTGCACTGCAAGGATTAAAAGAATGGATGTCAGGCAAAGCGGTAATTAACCTTTTTTTCCTTTGTTGGCAACATAAGATCTCTTTTTACATGTGATTTTCTTCACTTCTCGTCTTCCCCACCAGTGGTGCTCTAGGAATGATCATTGTTCATTTCCTGCCGTCTGTTGTGTTGACGGTTGACCCTCATCTAATGTTGTTAAATATTTAAGGGTCAACTCTCAACCGTGCTATGTCAGTGTGTATGCTCATAGATTTATGTTCTTGTGGTGGTGTAAACTAATAACTATATACCACGTTTGTTGATAATGGACAGGCCAAGCTGCCAAAAATTGCCCTGTTAACATCTGCAGAATTGGTTCCTGAACCTCTTGGTCTTGTCCTCGTTATTTCATCTTGGAATTTTCCTTTTGGTAAGTGATTTGCGACAATTGTGAGAAGAAAGCAAAAAAAAAAAAAAAAAAGGGCTATTATATACTTGGATTGTCTAATTAAGATTTCTATACTCAATGATCGATGTGTTATCACAAAAATGCAGGACTATCTTTGGAACCACTGATAGGAGCAATAGCTGCAGGAAACACAACGGTTCTAAAACCTTCGGATTTAGCTCCTGCATGTGCTTCTCTTCTAGCAAATGTTTTGCCTACTTACCTAGACAATAAAGCTGTCAAGGTTATTCCAGGAGGAGGAGCTGTTGGTGAACATCTCCTGCAGCAGAAATGGGACAAGATCCTTTTTACAGGTATACGTATAACACAAACAGATATGCATATGAACGAGCATACATGTACAATGGATTTGAATGTCTGCATAAATGCCATGTTTGTTTATGTACATGACCAGCTTTTCGTTTCTATTAAAATGGACTGATTTTACCAACTTGGTTATGTTCCATTAACTATCTGATATTGACATTCATGCTATTTCGATCCTTTTCTTGTTCTTGATAAATCTATCCTAGGAAGTGCACGAGTAGGACGGATAGTTATGTCAGCAGCTGTAAAGCATCTCACACCTGTTGTTCTGGAACTGGGCGGAAAATGCCCTGCTGTTGTTGATTGCTTATCATCATCTTGGGATAAACAGGTAGGTTTTTATCTAAAATGTGTAAAGTCATCATGTTATGATGAAATTAGTTCTCATAATTAGCTGAACACCTTAATTATGTATGAATTTACATTACTGATAGCGCTGCTTGTACTTAAATATATTTTTTCTGTTGGCTGCAAGGTGGCTGTAAACAGAATTATTGTGTCAAAATTTGGCGCCTGCGCTGGTCAAGCATGCATAGCAATTGATTATATCCTAGTGGAAAGGAGATTTGCTTCCACCCTGGTATTGTTGTAGGGAAAAACATAGTTTTCTGAATTTATTTAACCTTTTCTATAGTACAGTCTTCCCTTCTAGTGATCATAATAGAACTCTTATCTATTGTGTTTTCAGGTGGATTTAATGAAAGTTATGATCAAGAAAATGTTTGGTGAAAACCCAAGAGAGACAAATTCTGTTGCAAGAATAGTTAACAGACAACATTTCTTGAGATTGAAGAATCTTCTAAGTGACTCAGCCGTGAGAAATTCCATAGTCTACGGAGGTTCAATGGATGAAAAAAATCTGTATGATGCACTAACTTTCTTCTATGACTTTTAAATGTTATGGTTAATTGGTTATAGTGTTCTTTGCTCTATCTCTCTTTTTTTTATTACTTTTTTTAACAGGATAAATATCCAATATTAGACTTCTGTACCGTATTCTTCATGAGATAACTTTGTTCCGTTCCATGAGTGTTTAGACCGCAACAGAAAATGAATTGTTATTGCCCAAGCTTTAAATAGGACTTTGAGAAAAGACTTCAATGTTACGTTCTTAATTTTTAAAGTGTAATTTATCTGATTTTCTTAACCTTAATTTGCAATCGAGAATTTCGATATGATCGACAAGTTATCTGGACATATATAGTCCTCCAGTCAAGTATTGCTGCTAACTATGACATGCCTAATGGTAACCTCCATGCAGGTTCATTGAGCCAACAATCTTGGTAGATCCTCCACTTGATGCAGCCATAATGGCAGAAGAAATATTTGGCCCTTTGCTTCCCATAATTACAGTGAGATACTTACTCATCAATCATCACCTTTTATCTTTATAGTTGTATTCTGCTAATTAAAATTCCATCTAAATCAACAACTCAAGGAAACCAAAAGTACGTACTAACTGGCAGTGTTCGTATGAATGTTCTTCGAAAGATATTGCAAGTTGTTGTTTAGAATGATTAAAAGAGTTTTGCTTCAACAGTTGGACAAAATTGAAGACTCTGTTACTTTTATCAATTCAAGGCCTAAGCCGCTTGCAATTTATGCCTTCACCAAAAATGAAAAGTTCAGGAGAAGAATGGTTTCTGAAACATCATCAGGAAGCTTGGTATTCAACGATGCAGTTATTCAGGTACTTGGATTCATCCAGTTACGAGTGTAATTTAAGGCTAGTCAGTTATCTAGCTAAAGTTGAAGTCTGAACCTGTCATAATCATATGTTTGTTGCTCTTGAACGAAAATGCAGTACGCAGCTGATACCTTACCATTTGGAGGGATTGGTGAAAGTGGGGTTGGCAAGTATCATGGAAAATTCTCATTCGAAACATTTAGCCACTACAAAGCAGTGGTAAGGAGAAGCTTCCTAACTGATTTTTGGTTCAGATTTCCCCCATGGAATGATTACAAGTTGTCACTTTTTGAAGCAACTTACGCCTTTGACTATGTTGGAATGCTCCTAGTCATTCTAGGCTTGAAGAGGTATAGATACAACTGAGATGGCATCTAGCAGTGCTCTTGTCTCTTAATTGAATCTGCGACAAAGGTCTCCATATATGAATTCCAACAAAACTAAGCACTCATAACTCCCGAATGCTTTAAATGAATCTTTGCCTATTGTATCAATGAATTCTCTCGTAATGTGGATTGTGTCTAAGTCTCCTTCATTTGTTTGATCCTGCAAGGTTGTTTCTTGTTTATAAATTTGGCCATTTTTACTATTTATGATCCATCATCACAATTGATCTTCTGAACAACCAGAGTTGGAGAAGTTTACTGGATGCTGCTCCCACTAGTACGATGAAAACTCTCTCGTAATTTACTTAGTGTACAAATTCCATTCTTTCAAAATGACACATAATTGTGCTGAAAGTGGTAATCCATGCCACATCCCAAGTACCTATTCTCCATAAAGGCAAACCAAACCAATAAGAACGTGTTTGGTAACGTGTACACATACTGTGTGAAAGTGAAGAAATTTTATAATATACAAGTAGTAATTAATGACATGTACGATAGTTATTCTTTGGATCCACTTTCGAAGAGAGAGATAGACACGCAAACAAAAAGAAAAATAAGAGAGAAAATAAAAAAATTTAAACGAGACGAGAAAATCTTCTTATCACTTTTGATGGATATTGATGTAATTTTTATCTTTGTTATGTGTCTATCTCTTTTTTCAATGTGGATTCAAAGAATAATTACTTGTATATATCACTAATTAATTATAAAATTTTTCAGTGAAAGTGTGTTTTAAAATGTTTGGTTTATAGGAAAACTTGTGAGCCTTAGGCTACTTAATACATAACCATTAAGTTACATTTACGGGTATAATTTCTGATATAAATTTAATTCAAGAAGGAGATTTTCTGAGTTTCGTTTTGGTATATAATTTGGATCGGAGAGGATCCCATAACATCCCCAGAACCCCAAAAATTAAATAAAGTTTCTACTCGTAGCGTTGCCAGTGTGGGCTTTTGTAACCGAGCCATAGGTCTCTCCAATTTCAAAATTCTCAGCCCAACATATGTAACTAATTTCACGGCCTAATCAAAGGCCTTAGTTTCCCGCCTTTCCATTTTTTATACATCAGTGCATCTTCTTACACAATATTCATAGATATTTTATTAAGGGCTAAATCTATCCTCTCTTTTCAAGAAAAAAAAATTGGGTTTTTGTCTCATGCGTATTTATCTAGTAATTTACTTAACACTAAGAAAATATGTACAAATTTCATTCCTTCAAAATAACACATAACTAAATTAAAATAATCCACATCATATTTTAAGTATTTATTCTTTAGACAAACAAACCAATTAGAATGCGTTTAGTAATATGTTTATATTGTATTTAAAAATGTTTTTCAAAATGTATCTAGACTGAAAAGACATCATTTGGTGATTTTTTTATGTGTTTTTGAACGATTTTTCATAAGAAAAATACTTCAATTTTCAATCAGATAGATATTATTAAATATATAATTAGTTTAGGACAAACAATACATGTGGTTTACATCTTAAACCATTTTAAAAGTTTGGTCTAAATATTGAATTTTGTATCCTATGGCTAATCTAACTTTTCTTGTTGATTATTTTTATCTTATTAAATTTTAATCATCATTCGATAAGAGGAAAAGAAATTTAAACATTTTTTTTTCAAAATTTGATAATAAAAATAAAAAAGATTCTATAGTGTGTTTGTTTTCAAGGGAAGGGAATAGAATATGAATAATTGGAAGGAAATAAATTCAGTTTCTTTTGCTTGGATAATAAAATTAAGAATAAAAATGAAAAGAAATGAGGGAAATAATTAATCAAACCTCTGAATTTTATTTTTGGTTTATTAAAAATTTGGGCCCATAATTTTTTTTAATGCTTAGTAATGATAAGTATGATTGTGAATATTTTCGTACTGGCTAGATTTCAACCCACAAAATAATGTGGCATAATGACACATACACCCCGTTTGTATTGTTGAATAACCGCTAAAATTGCAGGAATAAATGGTAATTTTAAATTTATAAACTTTAATCACATTAAAGTTTCAACTGTCATCAGTACATGAAATAAAAAAAGCTATTGTAATTTTTCAATCATAAAGGGAAAAAAAAAGCATTATGCAGTTTTCTTTATTATCTACTCACAAAATTAAAAAATAATTTTGAAGAATTTGTCCATAAAAAAAAAAAAAAACAGTAAAAAAGGAATTTACCCCAAGAATTTGGCAAAATCTGGTTTTCACCGAAAAAGGTAAAATAGGCAAGTGGGGATCATTTTGTAATTTACCCTTACAACAAACCAGCAGCAAGGCAACCCAACGCCGCAATCTGTCAAACGGTTCAACGAAAATAGGAGGGAACATTTCCCGCCATTTCTCCCCTCTCTCTCTATAAAAGCCACTTCCTTTCTCTCTCTACACTCTCTTTCCCTCTCTTCCTATAACCCTAGCAAAAATCCCCTGGCTTGATTGATTTCTCGTAAAAATGGCAGCTACTCCAAAGAAAGCTATTCAATCCCCAACTAAGAAACTCAAAATCCAAACAACATCTCCTTCTTCAGTTTCAGCCACTCCTCAAACCCCACAGACGCTAGACCCTCCTCCTCGTCGATCCTCTCGCCGTTTATCACTCCAACTTGATTCAATCAATACTCCACATGAACCCGTTTCCCCAATTGAAAGACCCACCAAAGGTTCACTCAAAACCCCACCAAATAAATTGGTTGAGGCCCCTCAAGAATCTAGGGTTGATTCGTTGAAAACCCGGAGAAGTTTGAGTGAAAATGAATTGAAAAAGACCCCAAAAGATGACAGAGACAAAGGTTCTTCAAAAACCCCGAAATCAAAGTCTAAGGTGGTTGAGGTTGGTGTTGGTGTTGAATTTTCTCCTATTTCGCCGGATCAATCGGAGACAAAGAAGAGAAAAAGGGGCGAAGAGAAAGAGAAAGAGAAAGAGGGAGTGGTGATAAAGAGAGCGATGGCATCGAAGAAGAATGTGAAAGGCAATAAAATGAGTGGAAAGAAGAGGGTTTATTATAAGAAAGTGGTGTATGATGGGGGTGAATTTCAGGTTGGAGATGATGTGTATGTGAAGAGGAGAGAGGATGCTAGCTCGGACGATGAGGTCCCAGAATTGGAAGAGTGTAGAGTGTGTTTTAAGGTAGGGAAGGCAGTATTGATTGAGTGTGATGATTGTTTAGGGGGTTTCATTTGAAATGCTTGAAGCCTCCTTTAAAGGTGGTGCCTCAAGGGGATTGGATTTGTGGGTTTTGCGAGGCGAAGAAATTGGGTAAAGAGGTTCAGTTGCCAAGGCCACCTCCAGGGAAGAAAATGGCTCGAACATTGAGGGAGAAGCTTCTTTCTAGTGATTTATGGGCTGCCCATATAGAAAGGTTTGGCAAATGATGTGCATGTTACTATTGCAACTGGCTTGGCTATATAGAGTTTTATTGCTTGTGATATGTGATACGTGAATGATTGGAGTTTGCTTCTTTTCTTTTGGAGGTGTGCAGTATATGGAAAGAGGCAGATGGGAGCTATTGGTTTCGGGGACAGTGGTATATGATACCTGAAGAAACTTCTGCTGGACGACAGCCTCATAATTTGAGAAGAGAGCTTTATCAGACAAATGATTTTGCTGACATTGAGGTGATGGATGTTATCTTGTTTTGATTATTAATGATCTAATTGAACAAGTGCTGATACATATAGGATTGTTTGGATAGTTTACAATCTCCTATAAAGGCAATCTTCCATGTCCATTTAAGTTTGCCACTTTCTAATGATCGATAGAGTGTGGTCTGTTAACTACTAAACGAAGTTCACAATTGACAAAAAGTCCCTTGATGTATTTTGAGGCTTGAAGAATTGATTAATTACGGCCTTACTTTTCATGAAGAACCACTTAACTGTTTAAATTAATCTGCATACTTGTTTTGTTTGGTTTTTTAATCAAGCATTTTAAATTAAACATGTTCAGGGAACCAGAAGCTTATCATATTCAAGTCTCTTAACAATATTTTTGCTCGATGTTGCAGATGGAGTCTATCATTAGGCACTGCTTTGTCATGAATCCCAAGGAGTATGCAAAGGCCAATAATGAAGGAGATGACATTTTCCTGTGTGAATATGAATATGACATACATTGGCACAGTTTCAAGCGTCTAGCTGATATTGACAATGGCGACGAGGTGAGAAATGTGCAACTATCAGTATCCTCTGGCATCAAAATGGAGCTAACACGCTTTCTCACAAAAGAAAAAGGGAGTCAACACTCAGTTACAATTGATTTGCTTCTTCTCTTTTTGGTAGGAAGGTGAAGATTCTGACACAGATGAAGATTGGAAATCTTCCAAGGATGCTGAATCTGATACAGATGCAGATGTAGAATATGAAGAGGAAAATGTTAAAAACTTACAATCTAGAGCATCCTCAGCTCATGAGTTACCCGCTGTATGGATGTTTTCATTCTTGCTTATTTGTAGCTTTTTGGAGGTTGCCTACACATAAACTAATGAACTCTGTGGTCTTGACAGAACTCACGGAAGGGGCAGTTCTTTGGACTTCAGAAAATTGGGACAAAGAGAATCCCAGAGCATGTGAGATGCCACAAGCAGACTGAACTAGAGAAGGCAAAAGCAGCACTTTTGTTGGCAAAATTGCCAAAATCTCTACCTTGCAGGAATAAGTATGAGAATTTGATACTTTATTCTTATTGTTATCTGTTAATTATATTTTCTAATTCAAGAGCCTTAATATAGAGAGATGGAGGAGATAACTGCATTTGTAAAAGGTGCTATCTGTGACGATCAGTGTCTGGGTCGCTGCCTTTACATTCATGGTGTTCCTGGAACTGGAAAGGTAAAGTCTGTCAGCTTTAAGTGATAATTATTGTTGCTTAATTCCAAGCAGTGATTGTCTCGTCCAAGATTTGGCTGCATTTATATGAGTGAAATCATCCGATTTTTTTTTGCTGGCATGAATTGTAGACGATGAGTGTCCTTGCAGTTATGAGGAACCTAAAGTCTGAAGTTGATGCTGGAAGCATAAGACCATACTGTTTTGTGGATGTTAATGGTCTTAAGTTGGCATCGCCAGAGAATATTTACAGGGTAAAAGTATTTCTGAGGTCATCTTATTCACCTTTATGGCTGAATCCTCTGGTTGCTTAGTGTTTAAACTGTGTTCTTTAGGTTATATATGAAGCGTTGACTGGGCACAGAGTAAGTTGGAAAAAGGCTCTGCATTTGCTAAATGAGCGATTTTCAGATGGAACGAGAAGTAGCAAAGAAGATGGCCGGCCTTGTATTCTACTCATTGATGAACTTGATCTTCTTGTGACCAGAAATCAGTCGGTAACTAGCATATTTTACCATTTGAAAACTTATCGTTGTTAGCTAGTAACAGTATAATTTAAGATGTCCATAAAAGTTTGAAGTATTGTTCCTCCTTTTTTGTGTGTAGGTTCTATACAATATTCTTGATTGGCCAACTAAGCCACATTCTAAATTGATTGTTATAGGTACTCTCTCTCTTTCTCTCTCAATATTTATATATGTGTGTGTATTTTTATAATGCATTTTATATTAGTTATGGTGAATTTGATTGCAACCTTGTTGTCGTTAATTTGCTATTCAGGAATAGCAAATACAATGGATCTTCCAGAAAAGTTACTTCCTCGTATTTCAAGTCGCATGGGTATCCAAAGGCTTTGCTTTGGTCCCTATAATTATCAGCAGCTTCAGGAAATCATTTCAAGTCGTCTTAAAGGAATCAATGCATTTGAAAAGCAAGCTATAGAATTTGCTTCAAGGAAGGTCTGACTTTGTGCCATTTGTTGCCACAAATTCTGAACTTGCTCTATATTTTTAATTGCTAAACTTTTTTGCACTAAATAGATGTATATATTCATATTTGAATTGCGTTTCTCTCAACATCAACTTCATGAATACATTCAGGTAGCAGCTATTTCAGGAGATGCACGTCGTGCTCTAGAAATTTGCAGGCGTGCAGCTGAAATTGCAGATTACCATATTAAGAATTTGAGCTCCAATCATAATCCAATTCCTGAAGGTACATAAACTCTTTGGTTAACTAGACTCTTGATATTGTTAGATATTGTAACTTCATTCCTCTAGTTTGGATTAGTTGCTCCTTTTATATTCAAACAAGCAAAGCAAAGGATATTGCATCCGTGCTTGGAGTTCTGAGTCCCATAAATAAAAGTTGTCATCAAGTCTTGTCCTGATATTAGCATCACCCATATTGTGTACTTTAGACTGTGGCACATTCTTGGGGATTTGTTAAGTCACCTTGTGTAGTTGTGGAGCATGGATGTAGCGCCTGTCAGAACTTCTAAAGGTTCCAGGTGGACAGCTATATGGTTTCTGTGGTTGACTCCTTGAAGCTTTCATGCTGGTCTATAATGATAAAAATTAGGTGCCAAAATGGACATAAATTGGACAGAACATCTAATTTCAAAAATTAATAGTTTTGTTGAAGTCATGAATTAAAGGGTAGGAATATTTTTCTATATTATATTCGCCATTAAAAATATTCCTAATAAGAATTTTATGAAATAAAGGACCATCCTCTCTCCCAGTGTGGTAGTTCAGCTTACTAGATGAATCTGTATTTGACCATTTTCCAGGAAAAGGCCTTGTTGGTATGTCAACAGTTGAAGCAGCCATTCAGGAAATGTTCCAGGCACCTCATATTCAAGTAAGTTGGCTTTCAACTACAAATCTTGCAAGTTATGTATCTTTATTTGATTGTTTAAACTTTTTGCTTTTTTTTTTTTTTCATATTGAAATTGGAATATAGTGGGTACTTGATGGTGTCAAATCATGCATATATCAGAAATGATTGTCATATTCAGATATATATATATATATATATATAGGTGAATGGCCAGGGTAATGCATTAAGTGTGATGTTCCATGAGAGTTATTTACTTTGAAATAGCTCTAAACTTTGTAACATTGAGACATTTATCTGTCTTGTCTGTGTCATAAAGTTAGTGGCAGTTCAAGGAAAAGTCGTTGTTGTAATAGGCCTTAGCAAACTCAAATAACATCAAGGAGATCTTTGTGTGTAAGAATGATTGCCATGGAAACTTGTATGCTAGCTGTCGTCATCAGCATTTTAATTTTGCGAAAGAATTTTATATTAGTTTTTGTTATTTGGGAGAAAAGGATTTCAATTTTTCAACATCCATTTTATCTCCTCTTATAACAACTGACACTTTTATCTTTTCCTTTTTTCTGTCTTTGTTGCAGGTAATGAGAAGTTGTTCCAAATTAAGTAAACTTTTCTTGACAGCTATGGTGTATGAGCTATATAAAACTGGGATGGCTGAGACAACCTTTGAAAAGGTCAAATTTTCAAGCCACCTTATTTTGTCTGATTGTTCTTGACTACCCATTATTAATTCTGTGTATTTTGGAACACAAAGCTGTAACCACGCTGTGAATGTGTCCTAGCCAAGGTGGGAAGCCTCTGAAGCTAATATTCGGAGCTTTCATATGTTGAAAGTTCATTTTTTGCATAAAATAGTTCAAGGCAAACCGTGGACATTACGAAAACTTACCTGAGGCTGGAGGCACCCTCAAACTTTGATTTTACTATTAAAACATCTCAACTGTAACTGGTTCAGCCAGGCCCTCTGTTTGCTATTATCCCCTTTTTGTTGCTCTGACTGAGTTGTCTATAAACGCTCTCTATCTTTATGCATGGTTCAAGACACATTAGTGAGTGGTTGCTGAAAGATTCTTCTGTTTGCAGTTGGCAATGACTGTTTCATGTATTTGTACAAGCAACGCAGAAGCATTTCCTGGTTGGGACATCCTCTTGAAAGTTGGGTAAGTCATCTTGCATTGCTTTCTTCCTTCTTTTTTTTTTTTTAAAAAAAAAAAAAGAAGGGAAAAGAATGGCAATTTTCTTTTGACAACTTTTGAGGAGAGCTATTATTGCGGAATGGTTTGGACGCTGGGGTTCCTTACTAAGACATTATATATACTATGCCCGGATGACGTGTCAAATGAGGCACCTAACTCAGATGACATGTTGCTTAACCGCTTTCTGTAGTACCGCACAAGCAACGTGAGATTTGAGATGGAAAAAAAATTATGATGTGCCTAGCTACGTGATAATATTTAATTGTGATTTCTATTTATAGAAAATTTGAACTACAAATGTGATACTTCATTTCCCTGTGTCTGGTTGTCCATAAACAGCCGAAAAAAAGAAAAGAAAAAAAAGAGCCCGCATGACTCGGTTCATAAACATTGATTCTGCTTTGAGGTTTATGAAAAATCTTAATTGTTTTGATTCATTTGTGTTACTGGCAGCTGCGTGCTAGGTGAAAGCAGGATAATTCTATGTGAACCAGGAGCTAGGCACCGTTTGCAGAAGTTGCAGCTCAATTTTCCAAGGTTAGTTCCATAGAGAGTACATTCTGCCATTACTTACCTACATTTATCTGGGCTGTCTGATGATTTCAACGTTACTATATTCTTATAGAATTTGATTTCCGATATTGAGAGGGATGGGCTTGCATTTGAATTAATGAAATTAAGCTACAGGCATGATTTATTTGATTTGAGGAATAACATTTGTCTTGCACAAGCAAAGCAAAACAGGTAGCATTGTCAGCAGTCAGCAGTGTGAGTGACCAGCTTCTTTTTGCCTTGTGCAGTGATGATGTGGCTTTTGCATTAAAAGACAGCAAGGAGATACCTTGGTTGGCCAAGTATTTATGATTTAAGATCATCACATTCACATTCTCGGTTCTTTATATGAACAATGTTGACCACCTTTGCTTCTCAAATTTTATTTTCTATCCATACATGATAGACTCAACTTTGGCTGTCAAAGTAGAACTGTACTCCCTTTTTATTTTCAACTTCGGCGATAAAAACTGTACTTTGTTCTGAGGCACTTCAATTATTTTTGACAGCAAATATGAAATTAATAATGGTTGAAGTAGGTCCAAGTTTTCTATATTCCTTTATTATGCTTTTATCCTTGGAACTTTTGCACACTATCTTTGTGTTTATCAAAGAGCACAATGCAAAGCAAAAGAAAGTGCATGGCAGTACCCTGAGGTAGCACTTAGCATTGCATTCCTCGGTTTCTTTTCTGGCCCGGAATATATATATATATATATATATATATGGGTTTTGAACTACAATCTTTTCTGTACAAGTTTCTTGATAGAGGGACTAGAGGCACCCAATTAAATCCCATATGATTTTTAGGAATGGTTACTGATCAGCCTTCGCCGAAGCAGCAACGTGCATTCTTCAGGCCTCGACACCTGTTTCAGCTGTTGGTTGCTCATAGCCTTGGCATCACAGTTGATCTATCGGAGGACCCAACTTTTGAGTAGAACATTCTGCTATTGGGCTCCTTTTCTTTTGGCAAAATCCTTAGATAATTATTTATTTCTACTCTTGTTTTCTCTTGTTAGTTGATCGATTAATTTTTATGTTCTTTGAATTCAATCATGACCTTTATTTTTTAAATTTCTCTAATTAACTCAATAGCTAGCTTTCATCAAATCTGTCTATGTTAAATAGTTATGTAAACGTAACATTATTGAGTCCGTTTTATTCATAAGATGATCTTTTATTTTTATTTTTTCTTTTAAATATTTTAATCTTTACTTTGAGTTCATAATACTTTATATATATATATATATATATATATAGAGCAATAATAAAAGATGGTTAGCCGATTCATCTCATTCAATGTTTTGTTGTACGTTAAAGAGACGGTAACTAATAAAAACCATTTAAGTTATTGTTTTTTTTTATATATAATTTGTCTTAGATTTTTTTTTTAAAAAAAACAATTATAAGAAAAGTTTTTAGTCAAGAATTTACGGATTTTTGAATTTTTTTACAAGTTTTTAGTTAAAAATCTGGATATAAAAGAATAAATTGTGTTCTTTTTAGCGAAAATTTTTTTAAAAAGATAATGAATAATTAGTTAAACACAAAATTTTTTAAAACAAGTTGTTTTTTTACTTTCAATTTGATATATTTTATTTGATCTATACTATAACATATATCATCAAATTAAAATTATTTTTTAAAATAATTTTTTATGTTATGTTTGATTCACAATATAGCACGAATAAAAACTAATAAATACTAAATAATTGGAATGTATTTTGAAATTGCTCATAATTAGCATACATGGTTAACATTGAGAATTTAGAAGTTGAGGAGAAATTTTAAAATACCCAAAAAGTAATTAATAATATTTATTCTAGAAATTCGTTTTGAGTAGAGAAACGAGATACAAATAAGAAAAAAAAATTATCTTCGGATCCACTGAAAGTTCTAAAATATTTCCATTTAAACTAAATTTTTGTTTTTTTAATTCTCTATCTTCTTTGTGTCTATCTCCTTTTTTTTATAAAATATGTATTGTTAATTACTACTTGTGCAGGATAAAATTTTTTGAAGTTACCTATTAAAACCGATAAAAGTTAACTATTGAATGAATTAAACAAATTCAAAGAACAAAAGAATTAATTGAATGAATCCAGAAAACACAGGTTAATTTACCAAATTAAAAACACAAAAATAGAAATGAATAATTGAAACCAACACATAAGTAGATATAAGGATTTTACCTTTTCTTTTTTATAATAGTCCCAAAGTTCAGTGTCCTCAAATGCATTTTTTTTTTTTTTGTGGGTTTAATGAAGTGGTCTTTTTACAGCGAAATTTGTTCGATGTTTTGTGTTTTTAAGGGATGCAATTTCTCATTCCCTTTTGGAATACAACGAAGACTGATTCACGAGCAGACGCTGAACACACTAGATTAGGAATTTCCATGCTCTGGGTCTTTCAACGGTTTTGTTAATAGTTTTCTAAAATGCACTATTGCGAGAACACAATTTCGTCATGAAGACATTTTATTTGGAGCATCGCAAGTAGCCTCTTACACTTGCACTTGCACTTGCACTTTAGGACCATATATATATAAGAAAAAAGGAACTTGCCTTTCAAATCAATAAAATCTCCAGCACGCTGAAAAACCCAAAAGGCGAATGAAACCGATAGAGCCAACTGATACCATTCACTAGCATGCCAAGTGTTAATATTGATAGAGCCAAACTCCTTGGATATGGACTGTGTTGTTTGAAAGAGGAAGAGTACTAAAAACTTGTTATTCGGACTTACCAAAGTTTGTGACAACAAGCCAAAAGAAAATTTAGAATTAAGCATCCCTTTCATTCTGCATATGGTTTAGCACCATTGCTTACACATTAAAAGTCCACTAATCTGTAAATGAAGGTATAGGAAGGAACTATCAAGAAAGTGACCACTAAATATTCCCACAAGGGAGCAGAATATTCATTGAAAGTCTCTACTTCCTGTACAAAATAATTGGAACCAAAAACCTCAAAACCCAAAAACACTAAACCAAAGCATGTTAAAATACATACTAACTGTTTTCTTTCTAGACCATTACTCTTTGCAGGCACAAGAGACGCATCTTAAACATGTTTTAGAAGTTTTCTTTCAAATGATAGATTTTCCTTATGCTCTGAAGATATCTTAACCCTAAAGCGGCCCCTTGGATAGTGCAGCAGGTGCCATGATGTGAACCAGGAAGATCAATTATGCCTGAGTTTGTTGCGTAAGTGACGAGGTTTTCATCCACAAAGTCCGGCCAAAGATGGCACTTCCATGTGTAGAAAGGTAAGCAGCGTTTAACCTAAAAATCAATTCAACAGAAATAAAGTAATTAGCCAAGAAAAGAAATTACACAAGCAGTGTAACACTATTAAAGTTGAGCGAGAAACTTTACTTATCAACATCTGGAGCAGCCAACGGATCAGAAAACTCTTCCCTGTGTTCTGCAACTGGGACAACACCAGCCATGTCTGGAACACCTTCAACCTAAAATCGAACCATCAGATGTATAATCAATTTAAGGCAACAGAAGATTAATTAAATCAAGCACAAGCTTAGTTTACTCAACAGAATTCAGAAATAGTATTTAAAGTCTGAATATGTCAAAACTCATGTAACAGAGTCAATTCTGACTATTTCCAGCTGTGATTAGATTCACTTGGACATCTTATGTATCCATAAGAATACCAGAAAAACAGCCTGCTGATTTCAACATCGTTTTGCACCCCCTCCTAGTCAATGTGTATTAACTTTTTATCTTGATGAAAATGTAATCCAAAATTAATTTCTTGATATTTGTCTATTTTAATAATCACAATTTGGAATGGCAATGGCAGATGCTACTCTTCATTTTCTTATCCTTTCTCTTCTCCTTCCAACTTTTTCCTTGGGCATGAAACACTATCGTGAGGACACTTTTCTCCACTGATTGGAAATATATTATTCAACTAGAAAACAATTATTCTGCACTTGCTAACAAGGTTTTGTTATCCTCAGTAATGGTGCAATTAGGGAGCTTGCTGAAAGGATCTGAGGGAACTATAGAAATTTTAAACTTTATCATTACATATGCTAGTCCCAATGGGCCCTGAGGTCTGAACCATACAGTTTTGGTTGGCTCACCCATCCCCATTCATTTAAACAGACAGTATGGAAGAAACAAAATATCACAGGGTTAAGAATGTGGAATGCCAAACCCACCCTTAACCTGCCCTGTGATCATCCCAAGCTCGAACGATATTGAGTCATACAGGAAAAGAAAAAAGATTTGAAATGACCATAGTGGACAAAATAAAATACTTATAATATCATCATTGAGAGCAGCTGTTTAAGCAACTTTAAAATATCTTGCCTGTTGAGGGTACTGTGGATAACCAGCATATGCATTGTATGCATATAATGATGGATCGTGTGTAGCCCCATAAGCATATGCATCATAGCCTTGTCCATAACCATAATAAGCATTCCATTGATCTACTTGCTGGCCCCAAGCAGCAGTTAAGTCCTACAGCAACGGAATTAATATTTATCAAGGCTGGTATAGAAAAGAATAATGATTTGAAAATTTTATGTTAAAAAGTCAACGACTGCAAATAAATACAGGATTAGATAGTCTCTTGCATAGTGCCTTCAATCTCATTATCGATTTCCATAAAGAAAAGCATAATATGCAAAATTTAATATCATTCCACCCTAATGTTCTAACTTCAACTTTCTTTAGATAGATGAGACATTCATTAAAAATTTAATATCCAAAACAGGCCACTACAGATTAAATAAATAAATATTGACACAAAATACCCAGGGATGTGCCCATCTGCTGCTAAGCAGTCTACCATGAATTGATTTCTTCATGGTATAGAGTTGGATGTTGAAAATTAAATAATTGCGTCGTTTTTATGAATTAAAACATTCTCAATGCTGGAAGTGAAACCTACTTGTTTCCTGCCCCAAGAAATGCGCACTGGCTGTTGACCAATCACATGCCCTTGCATTCTTTGTATTGCTTCTTCCGCTGATGTTCTATTCAGAAAACATTGGTAGAGGTCAGAAACTATTACATAGCAGAAGGGTAGTGAAAACCTTGACTATAGTATATTATAAGGATAGCACTATTGACGTAGTTCCACAAGAATCCTATTCCCCTGCATTTGTATGACTTCTTCAGACAGTGACCTATATAGACAAAATTGGTATTGGTGGAACCTTGACAATAATATATTCTAACATAAGGGGTAACCCTTTTGACTATCCACACAATCCACCTCCCTCATCCTTTGTACTTGTGATTCTCCTTTTCTCTGACCTATAAGAGAAATGAAGGGCTAACCCATATGAAAGTGTTGCTACATAGAAATGACCATGAACCAGCATTCTAACTCAGCTACCAAATGCTTAGTCAAATGAAAATGCCATGATGCTGCAATATCAGTACTTATATGGCATGTTATCCAAAGGTGATAACATAGTAAGAGAAAAAATTTACAGTACTAAGAAAAAAAACCTCAATGCAAACTGTACAAAACCACATCCTCTGCCCGCAGGAATCTTGACAGAGGCAATCTCCCCAAGCTGCAGAAAGGTTTGCCTAAGGTCCTCCTCTGTGGCATTAGGATCCAAGTTACCAACAAAGATCTGCAAAAGAAAAAAATAATTAGAGAAATGCACAAGAAACAAATCTTCAAAAAAACTCAACTATGGCCAACTTACTGTGGTATTAGTAATGTCACTATCCGCTGAAACCACTTGGACTGGTGCAGCGTATGCGGGAGCTGGATAAAAGGCTGCAGAAAAATGAAACTTAAGCACAATGTTATCCAGGAACCAATTGAAAATAAGAGTGATGCACTTGAATGCCAATGCATCATCATGAAAGACAAGATAGAACGAGTAAGCAGTATTAAGAAGTCATTAATGATCAAAGGCTTTAATGGCTGGGGAAGCCTATGTGCTTAGTAATATTTGACTTGCAGAACCTCAAACAGTTTCATAGGGTGTAAAGTTTTTGAGACCATAATTTACGGGACAATAAATTTCACTTTAAGCAGCATATAAAAATTCTACATTCAAAGTGGAAAATAAAATTGTAACCAGCAATAATCAAGACCTATTTGTTAAAAAAATTGTATCAAGATAGCTTCATCAAGGTAAACGTGCAATAATAGAGCCTCTGTAGACTAGGAAATATGAAAGTAATCTGATTGCAATTTGCTTCAGATGAACAAACAGAGGAATTATCACCTTTAGTCGGAGCATACTGCTGTTGATAACTGGTGGTCTTCTTTGGTGTTGCCATGCTGATACGCATTGGCCTAGTTGAGCAATAAACACCATTCATCTCAGTCATGGCACGATTTCTCTCATTCTCATCAGCAAATTTAACAAATCCATATCCCTTCGACCGTCCAGTATTTGGATCAGTCACAACCTTGGCACCTCTAACAGACGGATAATGAGCCCGAAACGTCTCTTGCAAGAGATAATCCGTAACATCGGGTGCTAAATCCCCAACAAAAATCGAATGCTCTGGCCCTGCATCTGGCCGCCTTTCCCCAATCCCAAAAGAAGCCCAATTCAACCTAAACGTTTGTTCCGTTCCCGGCATTTGCGCCCCATTATACGTCTGTAGAATCCTTTCAGCTGCTGCATGAGAAACAAACTCCACAAACCCATAACCCTCAGGCTGCCCAGTTAATTTGTTGCGTATTATCTTAATCGAAACCACCTGAATTCAATAAATTGTTCTCATTTTTTGTCAAATGAAAAAAAAAAACATTAAGAAATAGTAATTATTATCCGAAAAAAAGAGAGACCCATGATAGTTAAAGAAAAACCCATATGTATAAACAGGATAAGGAGAAGAAAAAAAGAAAAACAAAAGAAAGGGATGGAAGAGGGGACCGACCTCGCCAGTGTGAGCAAAGCATGTGCTGAGGTAGGATTCATCTGCCCAATACTGTAAATCACCAATCCAAAGGGTTCTAACTTCTTCTAAAGTTGCAGGTTGATGGTACCCTCCTGGAGCTGTTGCTGCTGCCATTATTGAATTCACTTTTGCTGCCTCTGCTTTTGCTGCTGCTGTTTTCTTCTTGCCTTAAAAATTTCTCTCTTTCTTGGCGTTTTGAGGCCTAAGGGACACCGGGATAGTGAGAAGTGCTCGCCGTCATCTCGACTTGTAAGTTATAATCGGCTAAAACGACGACGTAGGATACATAAACTACTACCATATATGAAACTTTTTATGTTTTTATGAGAGCGAGCATAAAAAAAAAAAAAAAAAGAACTTGACATGTCGTTTCGGAGCGCCGGTCGCCCCCTTTTGGGTTTGTGGCAGATACCGTTTCTTTAATCTTGATATTTTCTTAAGATCCTCCTTAATTGCATCCCAAATTGTTGTTAATCAATGAGAGGAGAGCTTGGCATTACAGATAGCTGCTGTTTCTGCACCTACGCTCTACACTTGAGACACATTCTTCTTTTTTTTTTTTTTAATTATAGCTAGCATATATATATATATATATATATATATATATATATATATGATGTTTTGAAATTGACGATAATTTTTTCTTTATAAAATAAAAATAGTTGGTGTCCGCACTATGTTACAGGTTTAGCATAATAAAATTATTTTAATTTGTTAATTAAAATTTTATATTTAATTAATTTTTTATATGTTTTTTTTATAATTTTGTACTTCAAAAAATAGCATAATTTTGTTTCTTTATATATTGATTTTTAAATAAAAATTTGTAATAATTTAAACTAAAATATTAATTCAAAATTCAAAAAAAATTAAAAATATATTTTTTGTAAGATTGTATCCAAATAATAAAAAAAAATTAATATACGAACTTGTATAAAAATTAACAAATTAATAAAAAAAATTTATTCTTATTTAATACTATGAGAAGATTATTTTTTGAAATTATATACATTTTATTTATATATATTTATTCACAAAATAATCAATAATGTTAGCATAAAAAAATGTATTTGAATCATTTGAAGATTCTTTTAACAAATTATTTTAATTATTTTATTTTAAAGAAATTAATTTTATAATATCAAAATAACAATAGCAAATGGTTAGTCTTATGTATCTAGATACATAATTAGTTTTTAATGAAATTGATGATTTAATATATTTTTTTATACATCATGATTATATTTTGTGAGTTGAGAGTGTGTAGGGTGAAACTAAAAAATATCATAAAAATTTTGAGACAAATTATTTAAAACATATTATATAAATTTCATTCTTACTATACTACATGAGAAACTATATATATTCGATCTTCCATAATTTTTTCTCAAAAATCAATTATTGAAAAAAAATATATAACAAGCTAGGGAGCAGACTTGTGTGCTTGGGACCAGATCAAGCTATATATATTCGATCTTCCATTATCTTTTTTCTCAAAAATCAATTATTGAAAAAAAAAAGATAAGATAAAAAAAAAGAACAAGCCACGGAGCAGACTTGTGTGCTCAGGACCAGATCAAGCTAGTCCCCTCTAAGAAAAGAAGAAGAAATAGTCGTCCGCTTTCTAGGCAGCAGACGACATGTAGTTCATCTGTAATTCCTAGCAAAAACCAGTTCATTTCTTATCTTATCGAACCTAAATTCAATTATATTTTTATTTAAAAAATCTCAAAATCACATAAATAATGTTAATAAATTCATTTAGAACCTCAAATTCTATTTCAATACAAACAAAAAATAATAAAAACATAAAATATTTTTAGATTTCGATCTACGTCGTTCAACTATTTCGTGACTTGTGATCATCAAAAATAAATTTTATTTTTCAAGACGAACAAATTGATGTTTAATTCGACGATCAAGATAGTTAGAATAGGCATCACCGTCCCTCTCTCTATTTTTATTTCTCTCTCCTCCAAGCTATCGGGGATCATAATGCTCATACAAATAAAGTTCGAGATCGAAACAAAAGTTTCTAAAACATAAAGACCAAAGTATAATTTTTTAACAAACTTGCTTCAAATAATAAAATACACAGGGTGATTGAGTACGAGTGAAATGTGCCTACATTTATATATGTGAATGGTCAATGAAATAATGATTTGCAAAGAAAAATAAAAAAGAAAAAAATTCAACAGATAGAAGCATTAAATGCTGTGATGGGAAAAAAAAAAAAAACTAAAAAGACGGAGAAAAAACACAGGAAGCGAAGAGTTAAGTAAATGAATAGAGGGCGAAAAGATAAGAACACAAATCAACTCATTGACATTAAAATAATTACAAAATAAAAAATACGGACAACAAACGAAGACATTTGGTAAAAAAATGAAAAATGAAAAAAAAAAAAACACACCGTAAGAAAAGAGCTAAACAAATGAATTGAAAGCGGAAATGTAAGAACACATATTTACTCAATAGCATCGAAATTATTACAAAGAAAAATAAAAGCGGCAAACAAGGACATTTGACAACCAACCAAAAAACACAAAAAGAGCAATCCCAACCAGCAAGAGAAGAAGGAATAATAATAAAAAAAAAACACAGTACAATTTACAAGTATATCTACGGTAAAGTCGAGTCTAAATCCACGGTGAAATGAACAGAAACAACACAGAGTTTTGTTGTTTTATTTTAATTTGGAAAATATTCTGAGCAAAATTATTTATATAAAGAGGTTTGCCAACTCAACCTGTTTGAATTAAAAAGTACAACAATCATGTGGCAATAAAAAAATAAATAAATTGTTTGTATTTATATATATATAAAAAAGAGTTTGTTTATAAGAATAATGAAAAAAGAAAATCTAACTAAAATTTTTATAACTATATATACTACCATTAATTAAACCTTTAATTCGGCTATGCAATTGAACAATATTCAGCTGTAAATCCGCGAAGCTGGTTTGAGAGCTAAAAATGCACAATAGTCAATGGCAACGGCGAAGTCTCCCTCCCAATCCTATCACATGCAACTGCGTCGAAATCGGTATCTCCTTCAAACATAAGCCGCTTACTTATTATTATTATTATGTTTTTTTTTTTAGTAAAATTTTTTTTTCTTTCTTTCATTTTTTTCCTTTTCTCTACATCATTGCATTGCATATTGCAGGGTTGTTGACGAATATTAATGGCGTGGCTAGCTGCACTGGCTGTTGTTCCTGTTGGAATTATTTTCGTATTCTCTGGTCTCATTGTTAATCTCGTCCAGGTAATTCACAAATACCTTTTTTGTTTCTTTTTCTTTTTAACTACAATTTCTTGGTTTGTTTCTTGTTAGTTATGCTTTTCTTCTTGGGTTTTCGTTGGAGGTTTCATGCCAAAACTTTGACGCTTTCTTGTTTCTGATTGTTCAATGTCTGAATCTATAGTTCATCCAAGGAAAATACCCTTTTATCTTACGTGCTTAATTGCCTGTGATTATTCTACCCATTATTACCATAATTAACTGTTTGATTTATCTGTACTGCTTACATGATCAGCAAAAAAAAAACAGAGAGAGCGAGAGAGAAGAAAAACTTGCAGATTATGAGTTGAGTAAATATCTAGTATAGGAGCTCCCTTGCGCTCACTTGGTGACTTATTTTTCAAAATATGCAGTTATTTTCTTCTGTTCTTAGGAGGGCTTAACATTTGGCTTAATGGGATATTTATAATTTTGCCTAGCGGTTCTTTAACAAGGTTCTTAGGCTTTTCTTCCATTTCATTATATAAATTTCTCCAGTTATTTCCCCCTGAATTTCAATGCTTTTCTGTTTATTTGTATGAAGTTTTCGATCAAGTTGTCTATATTGGAGAACCAACCCCCCCTTTTTTCATGTTTTATGCGTCTCAATTCTCATGTTTCCTTTACAATAAAAACATAAAAGAAGAAAGAAAACGTTTCTTTGTTTTTCATTAAATTAAGTTTATAAATGGTATCATATAACTTTTTGGTAACATAATTTATTTCTTGTACTTTGCAGGCAATTCTCTTCATCCTTTTTCGTCCTGTGTCCAGGAATCTGCACAGAAGGATTAACAAAATAGTTGCAGAATTGCTTTGGTTAGAGCTCATATGGCTTGTTGATTGGTGGGCAAAATTGAAGGCAAGCTCTTAAATTCTTCCTTAAATTGCTTTATGTGGTTGTTAAGCTTTTAATTCTCATCTCATTGGCATTTATGCATTAATCATTTATATAAGTTCCAAGAAAACCAAATTTCTAAAGTCTAAAACTTATTTCATGTGGGACAGTAGGGGATCCTCGCTGGACCCCTAAAAAATAGAATCAGGATTTTCAACATGCAATGTACTTTAGCTTTTGGGGTGAATGGTTTTTATTTTGCATTGCTTTAATTGCTTAATCTGTCAATACATAGGTTGAGGAAGTTAATACCATTCAATTCTGCTTATGTACTCCATTGCCACCAATGTCATTGATAGCTTGGGAAATTTACAACCTAGGTCTTGTGGATTGTTCCATTTATAGCCATGAATCTGCTTCTTCTTCATTTTTTATTTTTTTTATTTCTGACTTGCCAGATGAGTTCCCCACTTTTTGGCCTAACCAGTTAGATCTTCTAATGCAGATTGAAGTGTATGCTGATGATGAAACTTTTGAATTATTGGGTATAACCTGAGGTTTCTTTCCTTTTTTCCCTTTTCATAGTATAACTTGACTTTTAAACCATGTTCAGAATTACTTTTTATTCAAGAACTTTCCAGGTAAAGAACATGCGCTTTTCATTTGCAATCACAAGAGTGATGTTGATTGGCTTGTCGGATGGATCTTAGCTCAGGTGCTTATTTCAGTGTATAGTTGCAAATAGATGAAACGTTTATATACATGTTGCAGTATGCAAATAATAGCGACTCCTGTTCATTGCTTTCTCGAGTGCAATGTGCATAATTATCAATTTTCTGTCTCTCTCTTCCAACACTTGTACTTCTGGTAAGAATGGCTGATTTGCATATGTCCATCAAGTCTATAAACAAGGCAATCTACATGTTCTATGAAGAAATGTTGGCTTCTCTGTAGGAGGATTCAAAATTTTCCATGTAACTTTTTTCTTCTCTCCTGGATTAGTTTGCTTTTGAAGAAAATGATCTGGTTTCCCAAAACCTTTCTTTTATCTTGAAAGGGAAGTTGTGGTAATGTTGGCGAAGAATGATTTAATTTGAGCTTTAATCTGACACTTTTCCCCACACAGAATCTAAATTTTTCTGAAGTTTCCAAATGTATGGAAAGCTTTCAGAAACAATATGATTAGAATATTGTATAATTAGCAGCATTGTGTGTACTTTCATGACTGTGATCATAGTGATCTATTATGCCTCGTTTAAATTCCTCTAGTAAAAGATTTTGGATTATTTTTATTTTCATTGTATACTTTTCTTTTTTCTAACTTCCAGCCTTTCTCATTGAATATCAAACTTATAACAGCGCTCAGGTTGCCTTGGTAGTTCACTAGCTATCATGAAGAAAGAAGCAAAATTCCTGCCAGTGAGTTTTCAATTGAACCAGCATCCCTTCTTTTTAATTTGATTAGATGATTCTTTGTAATAATATCATTATTATAGCTAAGAGAAAATAACCTATCTCAGTTGCTGAAGGTTATACTAGCAGCCAGGACTGCTGACAATAGAGTTTTTATAGCTATCGTTTGCATTTAGAAAAGGTGTTTTCATTGAACTCCCAAATGGATTTAATCTGATCAAAAGTGCATAGAAAACCATTTTGGCTGTTAAATTTAAACATATTAGTTTAAGTTGATTATGCTGTGGTAATTGGAATAATAGAGAAACAAATTTTAAGCTCTGGTCTTTTCAGTATTTGGAACCTTTTAAAGCTACAATGGGGAGACTTCTGCAGTTTTGTTGATCCTACATCAGTTATTTCCTTATGTGAAAGATTCGGATGTTGTTCTCTTTTTAATTAGAAACTGAAACACCAAAAGATTACTCGATATTTTTACGGTGTTGTGCTTTGAGAGTAGTCTTTTTGGTGTATTTGCTTGGAGAGGAATGCAAGGATTTTTAATAATTGTTTCACGTCAAGACAATTGTTATGAAATAGGCTAGTACTTATTGTAACATTGTGCTGTCATGATTTAGAGGCCTTCAGGGGTGCTTCTTTAGCCGACATTCAGAGGGATTGGTATGCATTATTATTTTGGTGCATGTTTTATGGTTTGGAGGATGACTTATTCTCCAAACTCAATTTGTAAATAATTTTTTCTATCAATGATATTTCTTCTTTTATCGAATATTTCCTTACCTATATCTGTATAGACAAAAGTGATTTCACCCCATTGATACGTTGATGATTTGACTAGTGCCTTGCTAACACACTTACTGAAGTGGAGGGAATTTACTGAATGTCTCAGATTAATACAATAGAATTGATATCTTGACTCTATGCTCTGTTTGGGCCTCACAGTCACATGTCTCTTCTCCCATTCCTGGATTTAAAGACTGGCGTGCATGTGTGCATTTCTTTATTAACTACCTTAATTATCATTAATGATCATAATTGAGCCATTAGTTTTTTCCTATAGGAGTTTTGAAATGACTAAATCTTGTAGTGATTCTCTTAGCAACCATTTCCCCCTTTCTATTTGATTCCAACCTGTAGGTTGAATTCAATTTTCATTGATCTCAATTGATGCAGGTAATAGGTTGGTCAATGTGGTTTTCTGATTATCTGTTTCTGGAGAGAAGCTGGAGTAAGGATGAAAGAACATTGCAGGTACACGCATGAGATATTGTAATTGATATCACATGCATTTCATGTCATTTTTCTCTGTTTATATCTTATGGGTTTCAGCATTGCAGTCAGGTTTTGAACGGTTGGCAGATTTTCCGATGCCTTTTTGGTTGGCTCTTTTTGTAGAGGGAACTCGTTTTACACAAGCTAAACTTCAAGCGGCACAGGAATTTGCTGCTTCAAGAGGGTTTCCTGTTCCTAGAAATGTGTTGATTCCACGCACCAAGGTGAATAATAGTTGAGCTTTTGTTAAGTATAGCAACAGTTTGCACTTTTCAGATTGCATGTCATAATAATATATTCTTCAACTGTTTCTGAGTTCCAGGCTTGTATCTTCCTGTTGTTTGTGTCTCCCTGCAGAAATATGTGCTTTGTTTTCATGAAACTAGAACCTATGGTCACTGCCAATCTGTTCATTGCTTAAGAAAATTATTGTCATGACATGCACAACAAATTGATATTTCAAGTATAATTTGAGTTTTCAGTCAATAATCCACTTATAAAGTTGAGTTGTGTTGCTTTCAGGGTTTCGTATCAGCAGTAACTCATTTGCGTTCATTTGTTCCAGCAATTTATGATGGAACTCTGGCTGTTGCAAATAATCAGCCCCCACCAACATTTCTAAGAATATTAAGGGGACAATCTTCTGTGGTAGGCTAACTAAACCATAATAAATAACAGTAATAGGCAAATAGATTGTTCCTTGTGCTCTGCATTTTTGCATATAACAACACTAAAAAAGATCTAACAAATTGATGAATTATATACTTCCAAAGTTGTCTTCAGATGTTCTAGTCAGTACTGATGTTTTCAGTTTCATGAGATATTCACTTGTGCTTCATTTTGTCATTCAGTGATCTCCATACTCTCTCTGAAATATTACACGAACATTTAATTCTCTTGAATCTAGAATGGTTTCCCTTGGTGCATCGAAATTTTTAGTATGTCTAGCTGGATGGGGATGGGTAAGAACATCCAGCCAGGCTAATCAATTTTTTAAATTTGCAAAACGTGATACAGAATAGCTTAGCCTGCAGTTGTAGGGTCATAACTAAATGGAGAATTGGTTTTCATTTGACAATAATAAAGGTTATTTAAGATGGATTATTAATTAATAAAGCCTGTAGGACAGCGAAACTAACTAGATGCTCCAAACCAAATGAAGGAGGTACCATCGATGGTAAGAATTAATCAGTTGTAATTTTATTATGATGTAACGCATGGTTAGTCTTCATGCTCAATTAAATGCTATGAAGGAATAAATACATGCCAGACTACCCTATAGCCACTCTAGACATCTCAAGCTGGATCTAACAAAACGCTGAATTCCATTGGATCCCCCCTTTGTGATGTTCTTGAATTGTGATAGAGGCAATTTCTTGTCCTTTTCTTACAGATAAAAGTGCAAATCCAGCGGCATTCAATGCAGGAACTTCCAGAAACAGCTGATGGAATTGCACAATGGTGCAAAGATGCATTTGTAACCAAGGTATTGCGATGTATATTTTTCTCATCTAAAAGTTGAAAAATAAAAACATGTTTTCCACTGAAGGATTAATGCTAGAAAGTCATTTCAGTGAACCATACTAATTCTACATAAAGGACTACTATTTACATAAAAGCAAATGCAATAGAAAAACATTTCCACTGTATGCTTTATTGGTTGGAGGTTGCTCATCAGCCAATTTGTTTTGTTTTTCTTTCTAAATTTGCAATTTAACAGCATCAGAATGCAACCAGTTGAGCAGTATTTGGGTTTCCAAACAGCTTCTCAGTGCATAATGTAAACTTGGTGGAAATCGTCTATTTGAAATGCAAAGCAAGACATCAAATGCTTGTTAATAAATTCTATCTGTCGATAGGAAACAGATGGTGGAAAATCATTTTATCAAACAGAGACTTGTTTTGAAAACTGAAGGTGCCCCTGGAAATGGTTTAAGAGAACTTCCTATACTCTCATTTCACTACTCGAAATCAATTACCGTAAATTTGAATGCTTTTGCACTTCATGCTCAAGTTAAATTTGTACATTGCTCCAGGTGTTTCCGTGTCACCAAGGAGATATATCACACACTTTTCACTTCCTTTGTTGTTGGTGTATCTGGATTTTGATTTTCCACTTTTTATCAAACAGGATGCGTTGTTGGAGAAAGATTTTGCTAAGGACATCTTCAGCGATAAAAAACTTCAAGACCTTGGCCGACCCAAAAAGTCTTTGTTTGTAAGAAGATGCTTCATAATATTAAGCTACAACTTTTGTTTTTCTCTGTTTCTTATCTTTTCATATTGATTTGTCTGAGCAGGTTATTCTTTTCTGGTCATGTCTCCTTGTCTACGCCACTCTCATGTTATTCCAATGGCTGTCATTCCTAGCCTCCTGGGAAGTCATTGCATGTTCAGTTGCTTTCTTGCTCCTCGTTACAATTATTATGCTTTTTCTTATTCGATCATCCGAGTCAGAGTACTCTACACTCCCAACCAATTCCAAATCATTGGAAGAAACAAGGGAGAGGCTCCTTTTAAATTAATGACACTCGTTGTTGGAAGGAGGCCGTCATTGAAAACAATACAAGAAAGAAAGATGGGAAAAATGATGTCATCTGCTCAGAAATGATCTGTTACCGTGAATAACTTGATTATGGACTTGGTTAAGCAATAACTTATAGGCTTCTTTGTATATGATTGTTTTTTTTTCGTATTTGGAAAACTCTTGCTTGTTCTTGCGCTTTGATTCCTTCATCTTTGCTTTTATCATAGAGGAGAATACAATAGTGGTGAAAATCAACCTGCACCTTAGCCAAGCTTTTCCAGGTCATTAACTTTCCCTAGAATCGAACACGAGGAGTCACCTACGACAAGAACTGTTGGGAAAATTATATCATCGAACTATTTGCCAACTAAAGGAAATAGAGATGCTTGATTTTATAGTTAACAGCACTTCAGAATTTAGTTTGACAGGACAAACGGGCCTGCCTCCATTGAGTGGAGTCGAATCCCTAAAACGCAGATAGGAAGTACCTGTTGAGAGAGGCAAAAGTACAATGAAGCTCAAAAAAGAGCAAGCAGCTATTAGCTCAACTAATGCAAAAACTAAATCAAGAATGTTATAGCTAGGTGAAGATGTATCTGTTATCTGCAAGGCACTAGCCCAACTGATGCTTATAGAATTTTCTGGCATACAGACCAAGCTTTGAAAGACATATATACTAAACACACACACCTATGTGCTTTAGAAGATAGAAAACTGTAATGGGATTTATTTATGGGGGGAAGCAGAAACTGATATATTAATTAATTAATTAATTAATAGAAAGAGTTTTGGATCATTTCCTGAAGATTGAGAGAGAATAAAAATTATTAGTAGTTACTACCAATTAATGGTCCCTCGTAACATTAACTAGCCGACGGATCCATCATCCTTAGGGGACTAGTAATATATCACCATCGTATACAATACACGCTGTCTATGTCTTTATACCGGTTAGGCAAGAAGGCTGCCATAGTAATTACACTACCTCTGTTTTAATTTTTAATTTTGAAAGTTCCCACTCTTGTAGAAGACTGTTTTTTTTGGCACGGGCTTCACCTGTGTATTACTCAGCTTTTATTTTACAGGTAGTATTTTCTTTTTTGAAGAAAAAAGGAGAACAAGAGTTATTTTTATGATAAAATAATTATTTTTCATTTTAATTTTATAATTTAGTTATTTTAATTACGTGATATTGATCAGAATAAGAATGATCAAATATTAAAATATAAATATAATATGCTGGAAATTATATTGTTCATGTGACTATAGCACCAATTAATCTTACAAGTATACTATTTTTTTAGTTATTTGTTTTTTAGGAAAAAAATTATATGTGACGTGGAAATAAATTAACAATATAGGAATGAATAAAAATTATATGAATTATTTTTGTTAAATATATTTTTTTTAACTTCAGGAATGAATAGGAATTATCATTTTTTTTTTAATATTGGCAAAGTTTGTCTAAAACATGTGAATTTTATGGATTTTTTTGTCCAAATGATTTTCAACTAATGTAAGACAATTACAAAAAATTTCCTATTAAAAAATAACTAAAATTTATATTTAATAATTTAATGTAAGCGTTACGTTGTCATCGAACAATCGTTATATGCATAGGATCAACGATCCGAGTGGTGTGATGTGGATAAAAGTTTTGTTTCGATGATTAATGTAAATCGAATCTATTTGTTGAGTAAAATCGTTTGATTTATATCTATTTATTAACAAAATAATCAATAATATTAACGTAAAAAATTATATTTGAATAATTGAGAGGTTCTTTCAAAATATTATTTCAATTATTTTATTTGAAAAATATTGATTTTAAAACATGAAAAAATAAATAACAAATAATTGATATTATGTGTGTAGATATATAATTAATTTTTAAGAAAGCTAATGATTAAAATGCATACATATTATGATCATATTTAGTAAATTTAGAGATACATATAAACCATCTTAGTTGTATGGAATATATTAAGATCAATATATTGAAATAAAAACTACAATAAAATTACTATTTTGATTATATATTTAAAAAAACAAATAAAACTCATGAATTATATATATATATATTATCATTATCATTTAAAAAATATATAAAATTGAGAAAATGATCATCTATCATAAATCTTAATATATAAAGTTTAACAGGGACTCCAACATGCTACTTTAGTTTTTTTTTTAGATTAAACTAATTTTAACCGTTTAATTTATAATACCAACTTTTAAGCCTGGCCGGCCTAGATTCCCCACCCCACCTGTATATTATTTGATGCCCATCCTATTTCAATGACTTCGGTTTTTGTGTGTTTCTTGATTTCGAGACCTAAATTATGAATTATGATTAATATTTTTTTTATTAAAAGATCATCTCATCTAAAAATTTAAGCTGATAAATAAAACTTTAAAATATAATTTATGTTATTTTTTAACATTTTGAAGAATAAAAGAAAATCATGCAGGAAAAAAAAGAGGGTGGACTATTATCACAGTAAGTGTTATCAATGCATTAAAATTAAGGGTAATGCCTCAGCCCGAGGTACGCCTACCCATACCTGAACTGCAGAGGAGAAAACAGCCCCTTTTGCGGCTAATTAAAATTTGCTTTAGTCGATTTTTTCTTTTTGTAATCAAACGTGGTCCTTTATGATCTAATATTCTAGCCTCACCATTTGGAGCTTTGTTTTATTTGTATTTTTTTTTCAATTTTCACAAAATAGTAATGAATAATTGTAAATTTTTTAAGTCAAAAAATTCTTATTTAAATAGATGCATGAGAGATAGTATAAAATTATTTTTAAACCTTATCCAACAACATAAGTTTTTAAATTAAAATAATTTTTATACAACTTGATAATTTTTTTAATCAATATTTATCAAGAAAACTAGTATTAAATGCTCATAGTAGCTTGAACAGTAAAATAAATTGATGTCTAATTAAGTTCCTAACTTCGTATGTATACCACCCTTGATTATATATCTTCAGTGCTATATCTCAAAGAAGCTCTCTTTCTATCACAACATTGCGGAAGCAAGCAAGCATTAGGCCATGGAAAAGCTTTCAGTTGTAGTTACGTCTATGCCTATTGGCATGCTTTTCTTTCTCACAGGCATTGCCGTTAACATCTTCCAAGTAAGGGCAACCATATTGGAGCTACTTTTTATTTATTTATTTATTTTTCAATTTGATTTGCCACCTTTCTTTCTTTTTCCTTTTGTTTTGTCGATCGGTTACTTTCAAGAATTTTTTTTTTTTTTTTATCATCTTACATTAACATCAATCAATGATGCATGAATATACATATATATATATATATATTATTCTATTTTCTATACCACTAAACTAATTAATCAAATTTGCATGCAGGCAGCTTGGTTGCTAATTATATGGCCTCTTTCGAAAAATACATACAGAAGGATGGTTGGAGCAGCATCGGAAATGTTTTTCTTACTTATGGTATTTCTGATGGATTGGTGGGCAGGCATTGAGGTGTTAATTACCCCCAATATTCTCCTATATTATATATATTTCTCTTGTATATTCGGTTATATATCTAATTAATTATGTGTACCAATAATAATTTTCCTCTGTTTTTGCAGTTTCGAATTCATACGGATTTAGAAAATTATGAATTGATCGGTAAAGTTTGATTATTTCAAGCTAATTATCAAAGTTAATATATATAGTCCTTATGAAGTATTTATAATTGGTAGAGGATTTACAGGCAAAGAGAATGCGGTTATAATGCCTAATCACATGTGTGATGCGGATATCCTGATGATGTTGGGTAATCCAATAAACTATGGTAAAACAAAATTCATTCATGCTAAATAAAAGGATATATGGTTAATCAATCCTCGATCCTATATATATTAATTAATTAGGTGTATTCTATGCTATTCAGGTCACAAAATTAAAAATTTAAACAATTATGCTTGACGTACGTATGACTAAAAGTTTTGCATTTCTTAAGGCTAACAGCTTGGTTACATATATAAGTACTATAGTCAGTTAACATTTGAATGTTGTGGCCTTGATGCCTTGCAGTCAAGTTTTCAAGAGCTTAAGGATTTCCCAAGGTCTTTTTGGTTGACTATCTTTGTGGAAGGAACTCGCATTACCCCAGATAAACTTAGAGAAGCTCAAGAGTTTGCCATTTCAAAAGGATTGCCTGCCCCCAGGAATGTGCTGATTCCTCGCACCAAGGTAACCATGTAAATAATATTGTACCATCCTCTTTATTACGAAAGATCAAAAGGAAGAGCCATTAACAGGTAGTTATATATATGGTACCCATTTCAGTTTGATATTTGACCAGAAAAAAGGAAAAAAGAAAGAAAAAGTACGGGTGCAATTTATATGATCTCCTTCAAAAGAAATCACCTTATAACTTTATGTTTTGTACTTAGGGCTTTGTTTCAGCTGTACAACACATGCGTTCATTTGTTCCAGCAGTTTAATTATGATGTTACAGTTGCCGTGCCAGAAGGCCATCCATTGCCTTCCGTAAAAAGATTCTTTAATAAGCAACCTGCTACTGTAAGTTAAGACGGGATTTGGTGATTTTAGGAACCAACTCTGTTATGGTACTTTTTAGATGATAGATATGTGGATTACGTAATTATTTCAGGTGCATTTCCGCATAAAGCGATATGCAATGAACGAATTGCCTGAATCAGACGAAGGCATTTCTCAATGGTGCAGAGATAGATTTGTGGCCAAGGTATTATAATTTATCATTGCTTTCCGCTTAGCTTCATTTTTAATTTGCTCCTCCATAATTTAAGCAGATCGTGTGAATATTTGATGCTATAGAGATCGAAAAAGGTAATAAAATGTTCCAAGAGAAGTCTCACCAGCATTTTATTTAATTTTTTCTCTTCAAACTGTGATATTAAACTTTTTTTACTTATTTCTCCTTTCCATTTTTCCCTATCATATTCCAGGATGCCATGTTGGATAAGTTTCGAGCCAATGGCACATTTGATGAAAAAGAAGTTACAGATTTTCGTCGTCCACCAAAGAAGTCACTGATTGTAAGTCGTCATTCTAGTCACCTAAAAATATTTTAAAGAACTAATGTCTCTACTCCGATCCAATCTTTTTTACTTAAACGAATGTGCAATCTCAAGTGGATCGATTGTTCTTTATTTTTCATTTTGTTTGTGGGAAAAAAAAAAAAAACAGGTTGTCATCTTTCTTGCGTGCATCTATTGTATTGAAGCAACCGTGTTGATTCAAAGGTTTTCACTGCTGTCAAATTGGTTAGGAATCACCTCGTTAGCAATTCCAGTAGCCTTTGATGCGATCCTAATGTACGCTCTCATTGAGTACACAAAATTGCCAAAGCAAGGAAACGTCCAGGCAAGAAACAGCAAGTAGTTAAGCTTGATTAAGACATAATATAGACACACTGCAAGCGGTACATGATCGTAACCGATGGACTAGTTTCTTGCAATAACTATTCCTGCATGGAATGAAATTCAAGATGGGATTCTGCCAGATTGTCTTCTGCTAGTTACATTCTGGAGTTTGTAATTCAATCATCAGTACTGTTAAGAATAAACTACAAGCTAGATACACTCCTCTTTATAATGCTGCAATTATACTGCAGCTTCGTCTGTTCCCCGTCTGTTACCATTGGGAATTGATCATCTAAATTCTATATATATATATTGTATTGCCATGTTCAAACTATGGATCATGGAACATTAGCTCCTGCTTTTGTTTTCTTTTGTTATTTGATTATTTCATAAAAAGATATTAAGCAAACCAACAATAATGATAAAGGATGATCTTTCAAGTAATTGTTAGTCCTTCTGTGGTTGTTAAATTAAATTTTCTGATTTGTTCTACTTCTTAAAATAAAACTATTGTTACGTATCACGCGCATAAAAAAGTATCAAATTATTATAAATCAATAAAAGAACGAACTGTTCTACTAAACTCTATTAATAAAATATATCATCTTTCTTGAAATTAGCTATAGCATGAAAACATGTGTAAATTACAAATGTTGCATCTGATTTGTCAGTAGTGACCAGTAAACACCGGCTGGCCATGACAGTCCACTGGGGTGAAAGATTGCGTGATTGCGTGTCTCTATATATATTTATTTATTAAGTGTTTATATATATAAAATAATATAAATCATATTTTAAAATTTTATTTAACAGTTTAATTATTTGATATGTTATTAGAACATTGATAACCTAATGATCAAAAATTCAAATCTTGTTATAATCACCTTTTCTTTTAATTAATTAAATATAAAATAGTATGAGCCTATGTAAAAAATTTAAAAGATTTTTACTTAAAAAATATATTAAAAAATAATATGAATCGTATCTTGGTGTTAAGATTTTTAAATGCGATAGTCACTTGATACACACATATTCAATTTGACATTGTTTTTATTTTTTGAAGCAAACAATGGCTTGAAACAAACTTTAATTTCATTTCCAAATTTTTTAGAAATTGAAAATAAAAGAAAGTATTCCAAAATACATTTAACTCTATGAAATAACATTAAAATATATATATATATTAGTAGAGGGATTTATTTGGGTTTTCTTAAATTTTCTTATTATTTTTAAAAATAAAAAATGCTCGAAAAATAACAAATATAAATTAAAAAGAATTAATTTAGATGATGGAGATGTAGGGCCAGAAACCTTCTCTCCTCCCTAACTTGCAAGCCCAGCCACCAAAAATAGCAAATCAAAAGTCCCTACAAAATAGAATTAAAAATCAATAAGTGATGCTTTGATTATATAGATGATGTCATAGAGATGTAGGGCCAAAACTAAATAGACATACATGCATTTTCTTTTATTTATTATTCGTTTAACTTAAAAAGAAATTGAAAAATCAATTTGTTTAAGATAATCATTAATTTATCTACGGATGTACTCAATCACAAACTCCAATAGAATTGAGTCCTTAATTTTGCACATTCTCTTCAAAATAATCATTAGTATTGGCAATTAATTTTTATTTGCTCAAGTCATTTCAGGGTGACAAGAGCAGTTATTAGCCATCACAATTTGAATCTCCGATTAAATTGTAATAATTATTTTGTGGATTCTAAATATATTCATAATATGAAATGCTCGATGGTGCATCTATTTTTATTTGAGTGATATTTTTTCTAAAGGTAACACGTTTATTTTATTGGATTGGCTGATAAAGTTTGATGTATTTTCTTCAACAAAACTCATTCATAAAACATCCACCATAAATAAATAGTCATAATAATAGATCACGTATCTAGTTTAGTTATGAAATGGCAAAATATCAAATGTACACACGTACAAAACCTACAAAATATATATATATATATATATATATATATATATATATATATATATATATATATATATATATATATAATGAAATGCATTTTGTTTTCTTGGTACAATGCATTGCATTATTGTTGATAATTTTCATAATAATATATTGCATTATAGCAAAATTTTTCTTAATTAAAAACATATAAAAAGATTAGTGCTTGTTAGTATGTTAAGTGTTCAAAGAATTATCATTTAATATATATTTTTAATGCTAGAGAGTCTATTATATTATTCTCAATATAATAACTCATTTACATATAATAATTCATTTACATATAATATTGAATAAATTGATATAATATTTACTAATACATTAAATCATCTCTATGAAAGAAAACATGAGAATCAAGTGTAAAAAACAAATAATTATAATTTAATGATTTTTAATTGGTCTCTTAAGTGTATAATTAAAAAACAAGTAATTTCATTTAAATAATTGTTAATTAGTCTCTTAAGCATGTAATTAAAAAATAAATAATTATATATTTTTTAATTATATACTTATTTGTTTTTTTACACGCAATTCACATATTTTCTTCTATAGAGATGACTTAATATATTGACAAATATTCTATCAATTTATTCAATATTATACATAAGTGAATTTTTATAATTACAATATATAATATAATGAACTATTTGGCAGTAAAAATATATTAAATGGAAAATTACTTAGCACTTATATACTAACTTGTACAAATTATTTTTATACATTTTTAATTAACAAAAAAGTTACTATAGTGCATCACATTGTTATAAAAATTATTATCAATAATATAACAAACTCTTTAGCATTGATAACGGATTGGAAACTCAATCTATGATATATATAATAATAGATTAAAAATTTAACAAGTTAAGCTTGCTAAGGGCACTCTTATAAAGAAAGTTATGTGCATGTGATGTGACATTTTTAGGTGATTTAGCTAGAAAATTGACCGAAAGGACAATTAAAAACTTGTTTAAATAAAAAAGATATAATTGACTTTTTTTATGATATAAGGACAAATTGAAATTTTAATCTATTATATAAAAAATAGGTCAGACTATTAACCTATTATTCTATTCATGCTATTGGAGAAACTAGTATGTTTTTTATTTTAGCAATTCATTAAAATTATGTATATTAATAATTACATTAATCATCAAATATGAATTTTAATCAAGACCACAAATATCTCAAGTGCCATTAAACCTTAAGAGTCCATTAATGATATAGATCAAATAAATAAAAAAGAAACATAAAAACACAAATATCACTAGATAAGTCCACAAATCTTATCCCAAATCAGAGATGGAAAAAAAGGGAAAATTCGATTTTGTCCAAAACTTATATACTCGTTCTCAATTGCATCACTAATTTTTGAATTTTATCAATTAGATTCGATCAACTCCAACACTATTCAATTGCATCCTTTTGTCAGTTTCTTTCAATAGTTTAAGTTTAATGTTTATATTTTACATATTAAAATGACATCGATTAAAATAAAATTTGATGAAAAACTTGATAAATAATAATATTTTTTCTTTATGCACTGTTAACGGTTTCAAAGAAAATTTGACTAAAAAGTTGAGGAACATTGAAAGAAAAACTTGATTGATTTTTATTTTATTTTAAATATTTGGGATTAAATTGATAAGATTTACACGTTTGGGATTAAATTAAGGTTTCTTCAAAAGAAAAAAAATCTTAACCACGTGCATGTTCGCTTAAAAGACTAGGTTGTTTACCTTCAGAGAACAATTTTTCATTTTCTATCTCTATTTCTCTTTTCAATTTTTGGCGTTTAGCTTACGTGGAGAATGTAGAAAATGTATTTATTTGGTTAATTTAGAAAATTGTTTCCATCTTAAAAATTGAAAAACATGTTCAAGCATTTTTTTTAAAATATATGTTTTTGCTATATATGATTATTTATTTAACTTCTAATAACAATTTTTTTTCTTATAACATCATGCTAATTAATCTTAATATATATATATTTCAGGTAAATTGTTATATGAATAAGCAAGTGATATCATATAATGAAAGATATTGGTATGACTTATTAAATAAAAAAACTAAAACATTTGGGATAAATTTGAACAATAATTTACTGTTCATTATATGTAACTCCTACAAACTGCAAAGCACAATACATTAAAGTGCTCAAACATCTACTAAAAAAAAAAAAATTCTGCATAAAATTCTGCAGCGAATTGTAGTATATAACTAGTTATCCTATATATTAAAGAAAAATAGTTTTTTACTATAGTAATAAATAGTGTTAATCATTGTTTATTGTTAAAGTGTTTTAGTTTTTTATAAAATATATTTTTTTTTTGGTCAATGTGACCTTCTTTCCTCTCTTTTTTTTCGTTTACTGTTCATATAAATAGTAAACGACTTCCTCCCCTTTCTTTTTTTTTCCTTTCTAAACATTGAACTTTTTTTTAATCATTGTTTATTACTACGGTGCTTTGGTTTATTTTTTTGGCTAGCGTGGCCTTCTTTCCCCATTTTTTTTGTTTACTTGTTCATATGAATAGTAAACGACTTCCTCTCCCTCCTTTTTTTTTTTTTTTTGCTTTCTAAACATTGAACTTTTTTTTTTAATTTTCATCCATACTGTTCACATGAATAGTAAACACTGGCCTTCATTTTTTAAAATTAAACTTTTTTTTTAATTTTCATTTCTTAATAATGTTGGGTGTTAAAATTTTAAAGGAACCAACAATTAATTGAGTGTTAAAATTTTAAAGAAACCAATAATTTATTTTCTTTATTATTTATTTCTAAAATTTAAAAATATAAATAAAAAATAGTCAAATACAATTTTTTTGATCTTATATACTAAAGCAAAACGGTTTTTATTGTAGCAATGAACAATGTTAATCACTGTTCATTGCTACGGTGCTTTGGTTGTTTTTAAAAAAATTTTCTTTTTTTTTTTTTTGGCCGGCGTAGCCTTCTTTCCCCCTTTTTTTTTTTGTTTACTCGTTCATATGAATAGTAAACGACTTCCTCCCCCTCGTTTTTTTTCCTTTCTAAACATTGAACTTTTTTTTTTAATTTCCATCCATACTCGTTCACATGAATAGTAAACGTTGTCCCTCGTTTTTAAAAAAATTGAACTTTTTTTTTAATTTTTATTTCTTAATAATGTTGGGTGTTAAAATTTTAAAGGAACTAACAATTAAGTAGGTGTTAAAATTTTAAAGAAACCAACAATTTATTTTCTTTATTATTTATTTCTAAAATTTAAAAACATAAATAAAAAATAGTTAAACACAATTTTTTTGATCTTATATACTAAAGCAAAACGGTTTTTTATCGTAACAACGAACGGTGTTAATTAGTGTTAATCACTCGGTCATTACTATAGTGCTTTGGTTTTCTTAAAAAAAATTTTCATTTTTTTTTTTGGCCAGCGTGGCCTTCCTCCCCCCTTCCCCCCCCCCCTTTTTTTTTGTTTACTTGTTCATATGAACCGTAAACGACTTCCTCCCCCTCATTTTTTTTTCCTTTCTAAACATTGAACTTTTTTTTTTTTTAATTTCCATCCATTATTGTTCACATGAACGAGTAAACACCGGCCCCATTTCTAAAAATTGAATTTTTTTTTTAATTTTCATTTCTTAATAACGTTGGGTGTTAAAATTTTAAAGGAACCAATAATTAATTGGGTGTTAAAATTTTAAAGAAACTAATAATTTATTTTCTTTATTATTTATTTCTAAAATTTAAAAACACAAATAAAAATAGTTAAATACAATTTTTTTGATGAAAAAATTATAATTATTTTTTTATCATAAAATAAATTATTAAACTGAAATAATTTTTTAAATGATTTTATATATTTTATCCAACCCGCAGCGTAGCGCGAGTTCCAAATATAATATATATCTAAACAAAATGGATCGGGTAAAAAAATTACCGTATTAGTGAAAACTGTACATAGTATGAGTTTATAAATCAATATAAATAATAAATGATGATTTTTTTTATGCAACAAAAATTAAATCAGGTGTTTTCTATAAAAAAAACATGAAAAAAAAAATTAATGGAAGAAACTTGAAAATTGTAAAAAAAAAAGTTAGAAAGCTAGAAAATATATAAAAATCATATTTTTCAAAACTAGTTATTGGTAGAATAATTGAGAAAAACATTTTCTTTTAATTCTCTAAATATAAAAAAAAATATATAAACACAATTTTAAAAAAAAGTTTATGTGGAGATTTTTTTATGAAAAACAATTTTGTTTGGAACCATCATTTAAAATGTCATGTGTTTGGTTTTTTCTTTTAAACTATTAAAATTGTAATAAAATAAAATCTAAACTATCAATTTGGATAATTTAAATAAAATTATTAATTTTTAGATAAATTTTAATAGTTTTATTACGGTTACAATATTTATTATTAACTGACACGTATAAAAGGATTTTAATTTTTTTTAAAAATTAAAATTAAATTAAAAAAATATATTTAATAATAGTTAATTTTAATGAAGTTTAAATGATTTTGTTGTGCAGAGAGATGACTTTTGTTGTTGATTAATTAATGAGGTGTAATGAATTGAAATAATTATTTTTTTTTCTTTTTCAAAATTAATTTTAATTAAAAAAAACTTAAACAAATATTTAAAAGATATCATGCATTTCAATACAGTGAGGCTCAAATATAAAATTTATTAATATTTATAGTTTGAAGTTTAAATAGTCCGAAATTGATCTTTCTTTGGAAAACAAGTTTTGTTGGAACAATCTTGACAACATGTGTTTGATTTTTGTCCTTCTTCCACTTGAAAACCGATATCGGAATCCAATCAATAATACTTTGCATACATAAAAGCAATCTTATATATCATTTCCAATTATTGCTGTTCTTCTTACTTTGAATTCGTTAGTGATTGTAATTCAAAAAGATTTTGAAATGGGGTCTTTGAAAAACAAAGAAGAAATGGAATCGACTGGAGAGGAATCATCCAAGGATACTATTTTGTATGTTAATGGAGTTCGAAGAGTGTTGTCTGATGGATTAGCCCACTTGACTCTTCTTGAGTATCTTAGAGGTAATTTAAGGATCTTAGCCAGCTTTCTTATTGTTTGGTTTCTAGCAAGTATAGGAAGTTTTGAGTGTTTTCAGCTGAAGTAAGTAAAATTATTATCTGGGCTAGGTTTAGTTTTTGAAGAAAATAAGAAAACATAGCTGTTTATGATAAAGGGAGAAACTTTTCAATCCGAGTTTGGTTTCTTACTCATCATGTGTGTTGGGCTCAATCAATCAATCAATTCACCAATCAATCAGTGTTTGGTTTATGGAGTATCATTGTAAAAGAATAAACTTTTTTAAACTACTAATCTTATCTGTGATTTGAATCCGATTGGAAAAACATGTTGAACTTAGTTTGGTTAGGAGAAGAAAAGAAGGGAAGAGGGACTTGGAATCTTATTTCGTGTGAATCAGTAGTTTGATTGCTCTTTCTTGCTAGTGATTTGAATTGGTTTGCAGCAAAAGTTTGGTTTCTAAGAAAACAGCAGAGTACGGTAACTTAGTGTGCCTTGAAGCTTGGTCAACCAATCGATTGATCAGGTAGTGTGTTTCGTTCCCCAAAAAAGTAAGAGGGAAAAAGAGAAATGTAACTGTCATATGGATCCAAGTTTGATTCACTGACTAAATAGTAGGATCAACTTAATGCCCGTGTTCTTAAACTTTTCATACCTTTTCCCAGCTATTGAGCTATGTGTTGTAGTAATTGTGATGTATGTAATGATCAATAGTGTAAGTTTATGCTTGGGCACAGTTTAAAAGATTTATGATTTAGGTGATGTTTGTTTCTTTGACATACCTGATTGTAGTCCTCTTTCTATTCTTTTTTGAAACAGACATTGGCTTGACGGGTACAAAGCTAGGCTGCGGTGAAGGTGGTTGTGGGGCTTGCACGGTCATGGTTTCTCATTATAATAAAGTGTCGAAGAAATGTGTGTTAGTTCTCAAACTGCTACTCTCTCATTTAGTTTTGTCTAATCTATGGTGCATTTTTTGGTCTTCAGTCTCAACTCAATAATACTTTTTTCCAGGCATTATGCAGTCAATGCGTGCTTGGCTCCTTTGTATTCTGTGGAAGGGATGCATGTAATAACTGTGGAGGGAGTTGGGAACAGAAAAATTGGCTTGCATCCAATTCAAGTAAGAATGTTGATTTTAAATTGCTATACTTTTATCGTGCTATCTTCCTTCCCTAAACACCACCACCTCCCCCCTCTCCCGATGCTGCTTATTATGAATGTCGCCACAGATATTTTGAATAATTGTATGGCTTGAGTTTACTCTGTATTACAGTATCTAAAGTTTTAAGCTTTAGGTCTGAAAAGTTGACTGCTTGTTTTCAGTACTAGCAAATGTATGTTTTCAGGTAACGAATCATATAAGTGCATCATTACTGTATGTTACTCGTCATGCAGACAATACTTTGACCGGGATTAATTTCTTACTTGACCATCACACATCACAGATATATGAGAGAATTTTCATCCTTGATAAACTGTCCAGGACTTTACAGCATGTTTTTCTTAGTTGAATAACGACTTAATGAAGGTCACATAATTGCCTTAGTCACACTATTACGTCAGATACTATGTACATTTGAAAACCAGACTATATTAATGATACACCCGATAAGCTTAAGCTTTTCTATCTTGCTTTAGTCATCTTCTGCATCACTAAAATATGCTTGATGGTTCTTCACTGTGTCTGCATTTCTGTAACATTCTGCAGGAATCTTTGGCTCGCTCTCATGGCTCACAATGTGGATTTTGTACTCCTGGATTTATTATGTCAATGTATGCGCTGCTTAGGTCAAATGAAGTACCACCAACTGAAGAGCAAATTGAAGAATGCCTTGCTGGAAATTTGTGTCGTTGCACTGGTTACAGACCAATTATTGATGCATTTCGAGTTTTTGCCAAAACTGAAGATGCATTATACACTGATACATCTTCATCAAGTCTTCAGAGTGGTGAATTTTTGTGCCCCTCAACTGGTAAACCCTGTTCATGTAAATCAAAAACTTTAAATGGTACAAGAACTTGTGAACAAAGTACCGCTAATGGCAGTAAGTATGAGCCTGTCTCTTATAGTGAGGTAGATGGGAGCTCATATACAGACAAAGAGCTTATTTTCCCTCCTGAGTTGTTGCTGAGGAAATTAACTCCCTTAAATTTGAATGGATTTGGTGGGCTTAAGTGGTTTCGACCATTAAGACTTCAGCATGTGCTGGAGTTAAAAGCGAAATACCCAGATGCAAAGTTAGTAATGGGTAATACTGAGATTGGGATAGAGATGAGGTTGAAGAGAATCCAGTATAAGGTTTTGATATCTGTTGCTCATGTTCCTGAACTCAATGTCTTGAGTGTCAAGGATGATGGTTTAGATATAGGTGCTGCAGTAAGACTCACGGAACTACTGCAAATGTTAAGAAAGGTCATAAATGAGCGTGCTGCTCACGAGACATCATCATGTAAGGCCTTTATTGAACAGATAAAATGGTTTGCTGGGAAACAGATAAAAAATGTCGCATGTGTTGGAGGCAACATTTGTACAGCCAGTCCAATATCAGACCTGAACCCTCTCTGGATGGCTGCAAGAGCAAAATTTCGAATCGTTGATTGCAAAGGAAACATTAGAACAACCATGGCTGAGAATTTCTTTCTGGGTTATCGAAAGGTGGATCTTGCAAGTGGTGAAATTTTACTGTCAATATTCTTACCATGGACTAGGCCCTTTGAGTATGTAAAAGAATTTAAGCAGGCTCACCGAAGGGATGATGATATTGCGATTGTGAATGCTGGAATGCGTGTGTTTCTTGAAGAAAAAGGTGAAGATTTGGTTGTTTCAGATGCATCAATTGTTTATGGTGGGGTAGCTCCCTTATCTTTGTCTGCAATAAAAACAAAAGAATTCATCATTGGGAAGAATTGGAATCAGGAGCTCTTGCAGGGTGCTTTGAAAGTCTTAGAAATAGACATTCTTCTCAAGGAAGATGCTCCTGGTGGGATGGTGGAATTCCGAAAATCTTTAACTCTTAGCTTCTTCTTCAAATTTTTCTTGTGGGTTTCACAACAAATGAGTGTGAAAAAATCCACTGGTATCCCATTGTCTCATCTGTCGGCTATACAACCATTCCAGCGGCCGTCAATCATGGGAAGTCAGGACTATGAAATTAGAAAACATGGCACATCTGTGGGCTCTCCTGAGGTTCATCTCTCCTCAAGACTTCAGGTATATAAATCAGAACAATAGCACATATGTCAGACAATATAATTGTATCTTTTGCTGATACAGTAGATGTTAGCGTGTTCTTTTCTAGGTGCCTGCTTCAGTGTACCAATGAAGAAGAAAATGGTACTTATACTGAATCAAAATTTTAAAAGAATTCTAATCTATGTGTTAGTTACTTGAAAAGTCAACAGATGCTTGTGTGATGGTTTAGACCATATTTTTAGTTTTTTTTTAAAAAAAGGAAAACAAGAAGGTTTTGTAATTTTCTGTAGCACTAATGAAGTAAGGCCTACCAGTCTCCTGAAGGCTTTGAAAAAGGTCCCTGGTTCCAAGCATGGCATATTTTTGTATGAACTTGGGATCAGTGAATTTTTTAATTTTGTTTCCATTTGCTAATCTGACTAGGAATCATGGAAAGTTGGAAACCAAGACCCACATAAAATCGAACAGTTTTAATCTTCATTTTCATGGTTATTCAATTTCCTGGATATGGCTATGCTGTTAAATATTTACTACTTCTCACATTTATATTGGATTGAGTCTTTGATGTTGCAGAGCCTTGCAATCAATTGAGTACTGAACATCTGTAGCATCTGACTGAATTATGTCTTTTCATATTGTTGGGCTTCTTGTGATTGCATAGTTAATATAAATTGCTGACTTATCTTGTTTTAGTAGTATCATATCTTATGCGCAATCTTAGTTTATATTTTGTTAGAAAAGAGTATCATGATGATCTTCTTCGTGTATAACTTTCTCCAGGTTACAGGAGAGGCAGAATATGCTGATGACGCACCAATGCCTTCCAAAGGTCTGCATGCTGCATTAGTATTAAGCAGAAAACCTCATGCGAAGATTCTATCTATATGTGATTCAAAAGCCAAGTCTTCACCTGGCTTTGCAGGAATATTTTTAGCCAAAGACGTGCCTGGTGATAATCACATTGGACCAATAATTCATGACGAGGAGCTATTTGCTACAGAGTATGTGACTTGTGTAGGTCAGGTAAGAAATTACTTTACATTAGATGTAAAAAAGTTTGTGGATAGAAAGTAGTGTCTCGAGAATGCAAATTTGTCGACAACAAAACCTGCCAGTATTTTTTTATGTAGTTTTTGCTCAGGCTTTGAACTTATAATCTCTTGGTCTTCTAGTCATGTACAATTTCATATTGGTAAAAGCTTGGATATCCAGGAGATAATATCATACCTGCATAAGAATTGACTTGTTCCATTGTCATGTCAAATGATACATCAACACATTGAGTTCTTGGAATGCTTTCATGCTTCCTTCCTTTGTACTCCACGCAATCATGCATACGTGTTGTACAGGTTATAGGAGTTGTTGTTGCTGATACACACGAAAATGCAAAACTAGCAGCAGCAAAAGTTGATGTTGAGTATGAAGAACTCCCCGCAATATTGTCAATACAGGAAGCAGTTGATGCTAAAAGTTTTCATCCCAACTCAGAAAAGTGTTTGAAGAAGGGCGATGTGGATATTTGTTTTCAATCAGGTCAATGTGACAAGATCATCCATGGGGAAGTTCATGTGGGTGGGCAGGAACATTTTTACTTGGAAACACAGAGCAGTTTGGTTTGGACTATGGATTGTGGCAGTGAAGTTCATATGATTTCCTCTACTCAAGTAAGTTAACTCCGTTGCAAAATTTTTAATTTATTAACTGCAGTTCAAATCACTAAGCCATAACTGGACTGAAGTTAGAACCACCAATATATGAATTGTGTAGTAATCAACTTACGACTATTTTGGAGTAATAGGATTTTCAACTGAAGCATGTTTTGAATTGTGATTTGGTGGGTGATTGATCTGGACTGAAATGTGAATGAGGGGATCTTAACATCTGTGCTCATGGCTGAATCTTAACAGTGTCAATTCTTGGACAATTGTTTTCTGTGGTACTTGGCCATCTTAGTCTTGACTGTTGGTGGATTATACTTGAATTTTGTACTCCGACTTGTACCTGGAATAAGTTTAGCTAGTTATTGTTCTGGTTCTTATCATATTTTCTTTATTTATCAACATCTTTAGCATTCGCATTTTAGGTAGGACTGCTGGACTCTACTATTTTTTAGATCATGCAGGATTGTAAATAAGAAGGCATGTGAGATTGAATAAGTTTAGTGTGTTATGGTTTTCCTTTTAATTGTATTAACATCCACCAAGGTTGTTAGCGTTGGGATTTTCAGTAAGACTATAGGAACAGAACTTTAAAATCTTGTAGGATTGTAAAAACTGAGGCTCATAGATTGAATAATTTTAGTTTGTTATCATCATGGTTCTGGTTCTAATTGTATTATTTCCGTTTATCAAGGTTAGTGTTGGCACTGTACAAAACTTTCAGATCTTGTAGGATGATAAAACGAGGCTTATGATATTCAATAAATGAATCCTTTTAAAGTATATATACATCAGAATTTGTGATCTCGACATGAGTGGATTTTACCATATGTTATAAAAAGAAAATGATAAATGCAATTTGTACTTCAACGGTTTTGGAAGTGCGCCTGCCAACAGACAGGTAATATTTTCTATTTTTCTAGAGAAAAATGGCAGTACAATGTGGCAAAACATGTGCACAACTTCAATTTTGCAACTTCCGTCAGTTTGCTTGGAACAATTGTGTTTTTGATGTGCTTCGTTTTTGCAATTGCTGTTATTCTTCTTTTAACTTGCTGTTTTATAGGCATGCTTGTGTAGAGTTTCCCAGTGGATGCTTTTTTTCCCTTTTAAACAATGAGTGAGTAGCTAAACGTACTTGTGAATTCATGCTTCTTAGGTGCAATTTACATGTTCAGACATATTTGCTTGGAAACTTCACCAGTTGCAAAGTTCTGGCTGTAAAGTTGATAGTTACTTGTGGTCACCCAAATGACAGCATAATCCAAAATTATTGTCCAACTGCTTCACAATTTTCGTAGTGTCATGGTGTCATTTGCTGTGTGCAGGCCCCTCAGAAGCACCAGAAATATGTGGCTCATGTCCTTGGTCTTCCAATGTCAAAAGTAGTTTGTAAAACCAAACGAATTGGTGGTGGATTTGGTGGAAAGGAGACAAGGTCAGGTTTCCTTGCTGCTGCCGCTTCTGTCCCATCATATCTGTTGAATCGGCCAGTGAAACTCACATTAGATAGAGATGTAGACATGATGATAACTGGACAGCGCCACAGTTTTCTTGGAAGGTACAAGGTATTGTTTGTCAGTTAAAACTGGATTATGGTGTGCATTCTTGTATTTCATAGAAGGTGGTCTACACATTATGTTTATGTAGATACCCAAGCAAGCTGCATTTACATTTCACTCTAAAGGCTGCTTGATTCCCTGGGAGGTTGTTTCTTAGTTATAATATTGTAGACCATTCCAAGGAAATTTGCATCTTTCTCCATGTTTCCCATCTAACTTTGTGGTTTCTGAATTATCAATTTCCCTTTTGCAGTATCTCCATTGAAATCTATCCAAACTAACACAGCTAAGCCTGTGTCCATTAGTCTAGATCCCTCTACATCCCACTTTGCTTAAGAATCACATAAATCCCATTGGGATGGGCAGTCTCTCTTTGTTAGAGTTCAATTGGATAAAAGGTCTAAAAGATGGCCTTTGCAGCTGATTCCCAAAGTGACATGGATGCCTGTGTTTGTTTGTGAGATATTTATTAGCAGATACACAAAACTGCAAGATGGAAGCTTGAATCCAAGCAAAAGGACAACAAATATTTTCTGTATTTTCTATTCCAACATTTAGACTTTTTTAGTCAGTTGTTAATTTTCTCTAATGGAGAATTTGGTTTATGATTGAGCGGAATGGCATAAAAGGATCCACATAGCTGATCCCAATTAGTTGGGGAGCTTAGTTGTTGTTGTTGTTGATGTTCTCTAATCTAAATATAGAGTTGTTACACGAAGACAGAAGAGTTTTCCTAGGTTCTTGTATGCAGTGTAGTAGATAACATATCTATAATGGATTTTCCTTCCCATCACGTAATTGTGCACTTGATGTGTAAAGTATAAAATAGGAATGAAAGACAAGGAAAGGGGCTAGGACGATATGAATAGATAGCAGGGTAGGGTACTACTACTATGTTTTAAAGAAAGAATAAGGGGAGGAGGAAGATGGAGAAAGACCTTACACCCAATACATCTTGACCTCATTAGTATCATTTGCCTTTCATTTTACTGAAGTGAGTTTATATTTCTCCTTGTTTTTGAGGAGTCAAATTTAAAAGAACAAAAGGACTGATGGAGGAAATACTTCATTCAGGTTGGCTTTACAAAGGAAGGAAAATTGCTTGCACTGGATCTTGAAATCTACAATGGTGCTGGAAATTCTTTAGACCTGTCTCTTGCTGTCCTGGAACGTGCAATGTTTCATTCTGACAATGTGTACGAGATACCAAATATCAGAATCCTAGGAAGGGTTTGCTTCACTAATTTTCCTAGTCACACTGCTTTCCGAGGATTTGGAGGACCTCAAGGTATGCTTATAGCTGAGAATTGGATTCAAAAGATTGCTGTGGAGCTTAACAAAAGCCCAGAAGAGATAAGAGTATGATATGTAATCTTGTTGATTTTTCATTAGTTTACCTGCGGTTTATAACAACTGTCCTCTAAGGTTTTTCATATTTCTCTTTTCTTTTCTTTTTTAATAATTGAATACTCCAGGAAATTAACTTTCAAGGTGAAGGATCAATATTGCATTACAGCCAACAACTTCAATACTGTTCACTGGTTCAGCTCTGGAATGAATTGAAGTTATCTTCTGACCTTTGTAAGGCTTGTGAAGATGTTAAGCAATTTAATCTTCAGAATCGGTGGAAAAAACGTGGTGTTGCAATGGTTCCTACAAAATTTGGCATTTCATTTACAACAAAGTTCATGAACCAGGTACTGGCTGAAACTATATTATTGAAGTTGGAGTTGGTTATGCAACAGGATAGATGTGTTTCTCTTTTGTCAGCCTTGTAAATTTTCCAAAACAAAGATAATCTTTCTTTCTACCTTTTCATGCATTGTTCATATTGATTTCAAATATGCTTGGCAGATCAAACTCAGCCTACCCCACTTATTTCTGTGGGTCATCAATAGCAATGCAATATAACATAACTGTAGACTTTGATAGGTTGAGCAGGGGTTTCTTAAATAGATTATGATTTTAGAGTAAGTTGTTGCTCAACATGCTATATAGTAATATGCCTCACGTATAAACTACATTGACTTTCCAAAATATCAATTTGCATGTTTGGAGCTGAATGTCAAATCAGGATAAGGTCCATACTTGAAGGATATCAATGCTAAATATATCTTGCTCCCAACTTCGATAGTTGAAACTTTTTGATATCTGGTCATTAGCAGTTTAATCTATTTAAAATTATCCTCTATATCTTTTATTTTGTCTCTCTTCCGTAGATGATGGAATCATGGATCAGATGATGAACTTATAAAATGTCCATCATTAAACCTTTTGTGTCATCTTAACAATCTGACACATAATAGTATGATTACAAAATTTTCTTTACAATTTCCACAAAACTAACATGGCTCGTGAGATTCATGACTGGCATGTGTCCCTCAGCTCATTAAGCTCTTGTAGCCTCAGACTCTTGACCACCTAACAGAATAGTCAACTATCTAGTACTATCATAAACGGTCAAATGATAGGTTCAGAATCTATATAAAAATGCAGTCCAGCACAATGAATTGTTAAGGCTTTCCTCCACTTCTCCAGTTGTCCATGTTAGTTCAGACTCATGTAGTGTATGTTTTTGGCAACTTAGCGGGACCTTGATTTTCTAACTGTCTTCTTAATATATGCAGGCAGGTGCTCTTGTTCATGTCTACACAGATGGAACTGTTTTAGTTACACATGGAGGTGTTGAGATGGGCCAAGGTTTACATACAAAAGTTGCTCAAGTTGCTGCTTCTGCTTTCAATATTCCTCTAAGTTCTGTGTTTATATCAGAGACAAGTACTGACAAGGTATTAAGACAAATGGGACCTGAGGGGTGATATTATTCCAGTTTCAGTGACCTTAGAATTACTGGTGGGGGGCTTTTGTATGGATTCTAACTTTGGTCTGCATATTAAGTATTTAATATGGCATGGCCCATGTGTCTTCGTGAGTTTTTTTCTTTTGTGTGGTGTATGTGTGTGTTGGGGGTGGGGAGGCTTGAGTTGCATATGGAGTATGTACTAATACAAGATGTAATGAGTGTGATATATGAGAAGTGCCATCATGACCAGATATAACCTACTCACAATTGTCAATTCATTTCAAGCATACTGGTAGAGCCTGAGGTAGTGCCAAAAAACTTGCAATTTTATTAGGAATCTTTTGTTACAATTTAATGTAGCAAGGGGATTCCCACTTTCTGTCTTTGAAATGTCTGAAATTTTCGCTGCTGCTTCCCAATGTTAGTATTTACTTTACTTTATTTCTTTGTTCTTATCATTTTTGGAGAACTATGCATAAAATCTTTTTAAGATTAGAAAAGTATCAAACTGGAGCCTGACATTCTACACTGAAATTGGAAAACATAACTTGAGCTTCATCAATAATGCTCTTATTTGACTCTCTCCATGCATGGGTTCTCCAGTGGGATGGGGTTGGGGTTCAGTGACTGGCCTTTCTCTTGCTGCTGTCGAGTGCCTGCAGCTTGCTTCTTTCTTCCACATATGCTAGCCCCCTTCTCCTGCATGCCTCTTGTGGCGAACTAGAAAATTAATCATTTATATATTCTCATATGCTTATTCAGAGTAGCGAAAAGTGGTATAATCCATTCCATAAATATTTGAATAGTCAAATAGTTGATGCTTATTCTACCTATTTGTTTGTGGTTTTGCATTTGTCACCAAATCAGGTACCTAATGCATCACCAACAGCAGCTTCAGCAAGCTCTGATATGTACGGAGCTGCCGTTTTGGATGCATGTGAGCAAATAAAGGCAAGAATGGAGCCTGTTGCTTTAAAACATAATTTCGACTCTTTTGCTGAGGTAATGTACTAATGTTGCTTTTATGGTTTCTTCACATATATCTTTGTGCTCCTTGTTTAGTACTACTTATGTCCCCTTTCTGTAAAAACGGCAATGCTCTATTTGAAGTTGTATCTTCCTGCATAATGTCCTCAAATTTTTATTTCTTTTCGGTACTCTATGTGCTTCAAGTGCATTCTCTTTTTGTGTCAAGACATACCTTTATATTTCATGTCCATACTCTCTAGTGTCATGTCTATATTGATCCATTGATCAGCTAGCAGAGCAAGGACTTAACATAACGGATGACTTCGTTTCTTGGATTTGAATATGATTACTGGATTTTTCAGTTTCATTTTTTCATCCCTTCATCATAAAGTTCTATACCAGCTTTATCCTTTGTCATGTGGTCTGTTTCTGTTTCAAGCTGATGGTGCATTTCAACAACATATTTCTATCTGGTTTATCAAAAAAAGAAAAAAGAAAAAGAAAAAAAGAGGTGTACCTTTCTGCTTCAAGTCGATACAACCGCATGGTCAAATGAAAGGCTTGTTGCCTCAGCATAAAACTTTGTAGTTGTGTACTCGTACAGCTAGATAAACTAGAGTGTTACTTTAATAGTTGACTACAGAAAAGCTAGATAAACTAGAGCATTACTTTAATATTTGATTACAGACCAGTTCTTGAAGAACTGGTTTTTGTGTCATTCCAGACCATGATGTTTGGGAGGGAAGGCAGTCATCGTTTGTAGAACTATTTTATAATAAAACTTAGAATGCATTTTGCAAATTCAAATGGCAATACCAATGTTTTTGAGACCAAGATGGAATGGAACACGAAGTTGATTTAGAAGTTTATAGACTGAAATTTTGAAGCCAAGCAGCATAAGGTAGATACATATTTATGGTATATAGAAAGATTCTGATTGCTTTGATCTATCAGTAGCTTCATGGCATTAATTGTTTTAGGCTCTTCATTTATTGTGACCTGTATAATAAGAGGAAATTAGTTTTGCATTTCGATTTCCCACAGCTGGCTGGAGCATGCTACATGCAGCGAATAGACCTTTCAGCTCATGGATTTTACATTACACCTGACATTGGCTTTGATTGGACAAGTGGTAAAGGAAACCCATTTAGTTACTTCACCTATGGGGCTGCATTTGCTGAGGTTGAGATTGACACGTTGACGGGAGATTTCCACACAAGGACAGCAAACATTTTACTGGATCTTGGTTACTCTATCAATCCAGCCATTGATGTTGGACAGGTGCCTTTCCTTTCTCTTCTTTTTTTCCATTTTGGATTGTCATCATTCATACTAAACTACATCCACCTTACAAGTTATGTTAACAATTTTTTAATGCTTTTGTACAAATCTCTGAGAATTAAGGCATCATATTGCCTTTTACTCCCATAATCATGTATAAGTTAGCTTATAAATTTTTTGTATATATTCCAATTGAATTCAGATTGAAGGAGCATTTATACAAGGTCTGGGATGGGTGGCCATAGAAGAACTAAAGTGGGGAGATGCAGCACATAAGTGGATCCATCCTGGCTGCTTGTATACATGTGGGCCTGGAAGTTACAAGATTCCTTCCATGAATGATGTCCCATTCAAATTCGGTGTTTCACTTCTCAAGGTATTTTTTTACCACTTCTCTGTTACTGGATGGTTCAGACTTCAGAATTCAGACATCACTTCTTTTGGCCTTGACCATCTATGTTTTCCTAAATCTCATAAGAGATTGGATCATGTCTGTTGTTTCCATCTGATGTTAAACTAATTGTTGCTGGTATATAATATGGTTGCTATGCTATAATTAAATCCAGCCGATACGTGTTCCTGATCTTCTAGATTTTTCATTCACTTGATAGGCTAAGTTTCCCGTTATTGAAAAGCTTAATTTAAAAGGTCGATTTTAAAAATGCTTTTTAACTAATTTCTCCATTTTGGTTCAAGGGTCATCCAAATGTAAAGGCCATCCACTCATCTAAAGCTGTTGGCGAGCCTCCATTTTTCCTGGCTTCAGCTGTCTTTTTTGCCATCAAAGATGCTATTATAGCTGCAAGAGCAGAAGTCGGGCATCATGAGTGGTTTCCTCTTGATAATCCAGCAACACCTGAACGTATTCGGATGGCTTGCTTAGATGAATTTAGCACTCGATTTGTAAACTCCGATTTCCGTCCGAAGCTTAGTGTTTGAGTGCTATCAGGAATCACGCTTAGTCGTTCCAATATTCACATACCATGGTCATGCCAGTTTGTACTTTCTTCTGCAACTATTCTCACATTGCTTGCTCCAAGATATGACATGGACAAAGGTGAAGTCAGTTAGCCTAAAAGCAAGTGTAAAATAACAGATTGTGCATTTCATTTGTTAGTCATCGTGCCAGAGCCCGGACATTTTCTTCCACCTCAAATCATAAAGTACTGCTACTTGTGGATTGTTTCTATTTTAAGTTGAAATACAAAAATAAAAAGAGAACAAAAGGAGAACTTTTCCTATGTGGTGGCCAGTTGCGACTTTTGAGAAATGATTTAAGTGACTTTGCAGTTGCAGGCTTACGTTGTCATCTCCCACCCAGCATGATGAACAGCGTTGATGTTGACAGTTTGACTGTAGTTGTGTATTAAAAATATACACTCACGGTCTCGACCGTAAAGTATATTAAACGCACAAATAATAATAATAATAATAATAATCCTACCGACATAATTAAACTTTGACGGCTTCTGAGATGCAACAGTTGTCCCCTGCTGCCGCTCCAATTGGAGGTTCTTGGCGTCTCTTGTTAGACCAAGATTTCATGTGTAATCAAATTTGTCTACATGCATGTTTTACTGCCAAGAAAATACTGTTTCATTCTCTTTCCAAAGAAAGAAGAACTTTTCCATTTGAGTTGCTCGTACGTGCATGTGTTGCTTGAGAGGGTTAACAAATTTCAATATGTAGAACGGGAAGAAAATCAAAATCAGACTCAAAATTGAATCTGTGAAAGTTAATTTTCGTTGGCATACTCTGTCATTTTTGGCAGTTTGATTGTGATTAATTTTTGCTCACCTACCCTCTAGATATAATAATGCTTCCGTTCTCATTAAAACTCTGTTAAAATCAAATTCTGAACAGAAATACTGGAATTGCAAAGAATTGGGAGGAGGACAACTGTATAAAAAAGGAAAAAAAGTGATGTAAATGTTCTTCTTTTTTTTTTTTTTTGGCTGTGAAAGAAAGGAAACATCAAAATGGCGACTCGTAGGCACTCTCTCTCTATGTTTTTTTCCCCTCAATTTTTCCAAGAGAACTGTTCAAAGCATACTCTTTCAGTAATAGTCTTGGTTAGAAAAAAAGTCCTGAGAACGAAACTGGAAATTTGCAAATTGCAAATTGCAAGGAAACGGTCATTCCAGGTTTCGCCACACTCCACCCTGACTTTTTCTTTTTAATAATAATAATAATTATTTTTTTAATTCTTCAATAGAATTATTCATCTTTTTGGCCAAATTATGAAAATGATTATAGCATTCAATTTTGAAACCTTGTATCTTAAGACCAGAGTCTGCACCAACTAACATGGAGCACGGTGGCTATTTTCCTTCTCTTCACCTTACCAGTTAAAGAAATTTTATAATACCTAAGACGGAGAAGTTTTATAATATTCAAGGAGTAATTAATGATATGTTAGTAGTTATTTTATGGATCCACTTTAAGGAGAAATTAAAAAAAAAAAAAGAAAGAAACAGGAGAGAGAGAATTTCTCAGAAGAGAAGTATTTGGTTCGAAAATACCATAACCAAAAAGAAGAAGAAGAAGGGTTCGAATACAGTAGCATGCAATGTCTCCGACAAAACAATAGGTATTGCCCTTTGCAGCTTGCATGGTAGAGAAGCAGAAGCTACACAAAGGGAAAATGGTGCAGAATTTACCCCACCATTCATAGAAAGCTCAAATCCTAACAGTAATTTGACTTTAAAATCTTGAGAATATTGTCACTATCAAACCGGCAATACTTGCTAGCTATGGAATCAGTCTGACAGATTATATATACATTTATAGGTAGCAATCGGAAAAATGACAGCGAACTTTCACTATCATTTCAGACTTGGTCCTTTTCCACATAAAAATCAGATTGTAGTATGAGGTAAATCACCTGGATTATTATATCTTTTATATATATATATATATATATATATATATATATATATATATATATGTATATCTGCAACTGGATTAGAATATTATAAAATGAGGAAATATATATGGTGCAGAGCAGGACAGCGTTTCTACTCAGTGATAGGGATTATTAACTTACATCTATTATTTCTTTGACAGATTCTTACCTAATGTCACAGTTATTATCTGGATCATAAGTCGCTCCTCGAATTCTTGTACATTTTTATTCTTATATATATTGATCATCCAATCAGAAGAAATACTGCCGAACAAGTTTGAAAGCCTGCAACAAATTAATAGACCTTTTCCATGAACAAAACTATCATGCGCCCTTTATTCGTATTGTCATGACAATATTAGCTGGACATGATTCTGTCATGAACTAGCTAGCAAGCTAGCTTCCACGCATTTCTCTCGAAATTGTTTGTGCGATCAACATATTATTATAATAATTAATTAAAAAAATAATTATTACAAAGAACCTAAAGTAATATAGGCTTTTAGTTTAACAAAACCCATGGAGGCTTTTACTATAGCTAAACCCATGCTATAGTAACATTAAAACAACCGTCATTTTTTTTTTTGACTTGAAACGACGTTATTTTTATAAAATTTTTAATTTGTTTAGGCCTAGGAAGAAGAAGCAGATTATCTCCTTTTTATTTTCTCTTACACGGCATTTTGCTGGTGAAACTGAAGAGAATTGCTCATAAACTATACTCACAATTAGATTTTTCACTCACGCTACGTTGCGAATCGGATATAATATAAAAAACTATTTTAAAAATTATTTTATTTTAATGTCCCGTGTTATATTGTGCGTCTACCAATATACATCAAATAAACAATGAATAAAATTTTTAATAAAATTTTTTATAATTTGACTAATTATTTTTTATATATTTCATAAATTTTTTATCAAAAAATTATTTACTTGTATAAAGAATATTAAAACTAATAGATTCTTAACTAAAAACTTATTTTATAATTTTTAAAACATTTTTTTTATCTTAAAACTTTTTATTAAAAAAATAAAAAAAGAAACAAAGTGATCAAAATAAAACAAAAAGAGAGACCCATTTGCCACTTTTAGCACTATCATCACCTCCATCGTCATTATTTCACTACCATCATATTTTTAATATTATTAATACTTATTAAACATTATAAAAAAATTATTTTGTGTAACATGTAAATATTTTGCGCAAAACAAACATTACTAAATATCAATGAAATTATTGTCCAGCAAACAAAAATTTGAGAGCCATTTTTCAATAATTGGTGGCATGCAATTATGTACAGAAAAGAAGGGAGAATTAGAGCCTGTTACTGGTGACCTTGCAAGAGGGCAATTTGACTTTTCCAAGGTCAGAAATTTTGGCTTTTCCGGGAAATTATGGGGTAGATGTCTGGTATATATTTGCTGCAGCAGTCCAAAAATGCATTTATCAACTGATGATGATAGATAGCACATTAAAATATTTACTTTGTGATCAAGTTTGTGTAGAAACACAAGAAGGGACGGTGGGGCCCCTGCCTCCACGAACCGACTCTGGAGAGAAAGAAAATGAGAAAAAAAATTCTAGAGGACAAACAAAGCATCGAAACAAGTTTCAATCACAGAGCACCACCATTGATGCAAGGCATTAAATGGCGTGGGCAAAAAATGACAGTGGAGATCGAAAGAGGAAGCCAAAGCAGAAGACGATCGAACGGTCGAGACGAAGCAAAAGGCCAAAACAGTGCAACTTGAGTCACAGTTTACAGTGATCATGAGTGTAGAGTTACAATATTTAAACAGTAAACATATCAGTTCTTTTAATTTTTTAAGTAAAGTAACAATATGCAAGTGGCATGAGCAATTTACAGAAGGGAGGAAAGAGAGCAACGTAGGAAAAAAAACAAAAGAGTTGCAAAAAATTACAAAAGTGCCATAGTGTGAATAGTAAATCTAGGGAAATTAACTCCAGCCAAGTTAGTATCCAAAAGAGAGCAATTTTTTAATTGTTCATTGGTCTCAAATCTTTTAGTTTCTTTAGTAATTAGGAACATATTCCTAATGGAACTCCAGCCAAGTTAGTATCCAAAATATATGTTGTCTTATTAAACTACAATCTGGAAGTTTCTCAGGAGGCCAGGTCTCCCCAATAATACATCCCCTCTTAATTCACAACCAAAGAATTGTTCTTGCAATATTCTTTTAGTATGTTCAATGTTTCTGCAGGCAATATTCACAGTTATTGACTGCTTCAAGATAAATTATAAACTTAATTATATTCACGATGTCAGTCATATGGAGCTTAGAGGAAACCCATCATCCATTTTTTGGTGTTGACAAAAATGCAAGAACGTTCGAATAGTTTTTGGGTTTGTTAAAGGTGGAAAACATCAAACAATACTTAAAAAGTACACGTAGTAGTTGAGGCCGATGCTATAAAAACTGTAAACTTTGTAGTTCCCATCTCCAAATTAGTATTGAATCTACAAGGCAAAGAAAATCCAAGCTGCAGAACTTGAACTGTAGCCAATTTCTCCAAACATGGCCACCATTTGGCCTCGACTATTGTATGCCTTGGCATTATGCTTGGTAGCTACTAATGTAGCTGCTGATCAAGACAAACTTCACCAGTATTCATCACCAGCACCTGCACCATATTATCCTCCCCACTATTACTACAAATCTCCACCACCTCCATCACCATCACCACCTCCACCTTATGTTTACGTATCTCCACCCCCACCATCTCCATCACCCCCTCCACCATATGTTTACAAATCTCCACCACCTCCGTCACCATCACCCCCTCCCCCATACATGTATAAGTCTCCTCCTCCACCGTCTCCTTCACCACCCCCTCCTTACGTCTACAAGTCTCCACCACCTCCATCACCATCTCCTCCTCCACCTTATGTATACAAATCTCCACCTCCTCCATCTCCCTCACCCCCTCCCCCATACATTTATAAGTCTCCACCTCCACCATCTCCTTCACCACCCCCTCCTTATGTTTACATGTCCCCACCACCTCCATATATGTACAAATCTCCACCTCCTCCATCTCCCTCACCCCCTCCCCCATACATGTATAAGTCTCCTCCTCCACCATTTCCTTCACCACCCCCTCCCTATGTCTACAAGTCCCCACCACCCCCATCACCATCACCACCTCCTCCCTATGTCTACAAATCTCCACCACCTCCATCACCTTCACCTCCTCCACCCTATGTGTACAAGTCCCCACCACCTCCATCACCTTCACCTCCTCCTCCCTATGTCTACAAGTCCCCACCACCTCCATATGTCTATAAGTCTCCACCTCCACCATCTCCTTCTCCACCACCACCATATGTTTATAAGTCACCACCTCCACCATCACCTTCCCCACCCCCACCATATGTCTACAAATCCCCACCACCTCCATCACCTTCACCTCCTCCCCCTTATGTCTACAAGTCCCCACCACCACCATCACCATCACCACCACCTCCTTACGTCTACAAGTCCCCCCACCTCCATCACCATCACCACCTCCACCTTATATGTACAAATCTCCACCCCCTCCCCCATACATTTATAAGTCTCCTCCTCCACCATCTCCTTCACCACCCCCTCCCTATGTCTACAAGTCTCCACCACCTCCATCACCATCTCCACCACCTCCATATATGTACAAGTCTCCACCACCACCATCACCCTCACCCCCTCCCCCATACATGTATAAGTCTCCACCACCACCATCTCCATCACCCCCTCCTCCTTACATCTACAAGTCCCCACCACCCCCATCTCCTTCGCCACCTCCTCCCTATATGTACCAGTCCCCACCACCACCATCACCTTCACCTCCCCCTCCTTATGTCTACAAGTCCCCTCCTCCACCATCTCCTTCCCCACCTCCTCCTTATTACTACATGTCTCCACCACCACCTTCTCCCTCGCCACCTCCTCCTCCATATTACTAGACAAATTAACATATGTTTCTTACGTTCATGTAAGTTCTGGTTTGGACTTAAAATGTACTAAGCTGTTTGTTTCTTTTCTTTTTTCTTTTTGTCATATCCTTTCTTGCTGTCTAATTTTGAAGGGTACTATCTGTTTTGAATCGTAGGTTATGTATTTATGGAGAAAATAATTACTGCAAGAAGCACAGAAATGATTTCTTGGTGGCTCATGTTCGTTCATTCTATCTCACTTAAAATACCCTTCTCAAGAGCCAGAACAAGCAACGTGGACGTGATGATTCTTCGCAGTGTTTACAGAAACAGTTTTTTCCTTGTGATTCGATATATGCATGTTATGTATACCTTTCGGTTTCTTTGTTTCAATTTTGTTATTCCATCAGCTCATTTTAAGACATACTCTGAAATAAAGAAGTGATCATTCTGGTTGTATGTTGTCTTCTTTTCCATTTATTATTCAGTACACATGATCTGTCTCTTTTAGTGTCGTCGTCCTTCTCCAACAATATTTAAATACGAGTTCTTCCCGCTTGAAATTTTTAGTGACCCTTAAAAGAAATATTCAACAAATTAACTATTTGAACTCCTTATTATTAGAGTTAGTTGTACGTTAGTCTCTTATAGCCTGAAAAAGAATTACCTATAACTGGAGTATCAGACTCAGACCAAGTGTATTTTTTCTATAAAATAAAAACCAAACCGACAAATATTACATCAAAGTTTGATTTTGTTAAAAAACAAAATATTATTTTATAATTCTGTATAATTTATTTTCTATTTTTATTTTCTTACATAAATTACATGTAAATTTTGGAATTTAGTTATATATTTTTTGTTTGACTTTGAAAATTTATAAGTTTGACTTTAGAAAGTCTCAAGTGCAGACAATATTAAAATTCTTTATAATATACGAATTAATAAATTACAGGGGTTAATTACAAATAAACCTCTTATTTTTAAGGCGCCTATTACCAATATATCATGCTTCACCAATAACATCCATCGATTTTGCTCTTAAATCACCTTCCATTTTTAATTCTATCATTTTTTTATACTTTCGATCCCTTCAGTTCCATTAATAAAATCTGTTAAACATCCACAACCCAACTCTAGACATTTTCAAATTAATCTGATCTATATGGTTTAAAACTTCAAGAAGTAGTGTGAGATTCACATTCGGACCAATCAAATCACTTGAAAATATGAAGATTTAAAGAAAACTACTTAGTTCTTTGTCTTATTTGTTTGCTAATATTTTTTCAATTAACACAATTATATTCATGTTGATAATAGTGAATCAAATAAATATAATGCGGTTGGATAGTTAGATTAATTTTATCTATCAATTTATATATATTCCAGTGATTTGTTTTTGTTTATATTTGTTCAAATGAAATGATAGGTTTATTGGACTTTCTGTAATAAAAAGGTCCCTTTTTATTGAGGAAAAAAACAAACTGGAAATGTGATTTTGTGTGATAATAATGATTTTTTTAAAAGATATTGAAAATAAATTAAAAAAGTTAAATTTTTTCAATTTTAAATAATATCAATTCTAATATATAAAAATTAACGATGAAAAGAAAAGAGAATTTTCTAATTAAACAAAATTTGGAAAAATCTAATCCCATTTAAACTCAAAATTAGGGGAAAAAAGATAAAAAACGAAGTAAAATTAGAAGTTAAGAAAATTAAAAGTTAAAAAAAATATTACATCCTATTTAAATTTCAAAATATAAATATAAATAAAAAGTTATAGGTTTCAAATTGTTTTTTCAATTTTTTAGTATTAATTTAGTTTATTTCATTCTTTTCAATTCTTAATTTAATTCATCTATAAATTTTAGAGTTTCCACATGATAGATAACTTAAGGATTGTGTTAACCAATTTAGATGGATAGTGAATGGAAATAATATATATTGAAATTGTTAGATAAGGTGAGGAAGCAATATATATATATATATATATATATATATATGATGAAAAGGCATTTTTATAGTTATCTCTAAATTATACTACCGTAAAAAAAGAACTAATAAATTGTACGAAATATTCATACAAATTTTATACAAGCCTATCATAATAACTATTTTTCTCATATGCAACGAGTGATTTAATAATTTTATTACTATTTTAAAATTCACATTAACTGCTCATTACTAAACTTGTTTATTTGTTTTTTTTTTTAATCATGAAAATATGATCTTGTTTTATTCTTTTTAAAATCACAATTTACCTCTTAACGTTCATAATCTTTTGAAATTCACACTTTACTTAACAATTCACAATTCAACCACTTTTGTTTCGTGATAGATTTTCAAGACAATTTTCTGTAAATCATCTAACAAAATGTTCCTCTATTAATTTTTAATCACACATATCTGTATATTTGTAATTATACCTTTAATTATAAGATAAATCAAATTAGAACTTAAACAGATTAATCAGTACTTAAACATTCAAAGAAAAAGAAACGAAAATCTCCCAAACTTTTTGTCAAACAACCAATGACCGTCTTGTTAGATTCATCTCGATTTTTTTTTTATCAAAAAGATCTTCACTTAATTGCTATCCTGACAAATTTAGGCTGCTCGACATAATCCATCTCAAATGGCTATGGGGGTAATAAACTAAAAGAGGAAATCAGTAGCTAAGAGAAGTCGATTTTATTCTTATTCACAGCTCAGAAACATTCTCTGAAAGTAAAAACGCCAGAAAAACGAACAGAGAGAACCAAGAAAAGCAAAAATAAAAGCTATCGTCAAAAGATATTCTAGCTTGCCTGCAAGTGCAATCCCAACATTATTCTGCACTTCACTTTTTTTCTAATCGAAACCCATGATCATTTCGTTACCAAAGCTCTTGATCACCTTTGGCACCCTCTCGAATTTGGCCACCCGCTCCTCCTCATCTGGTGGCGCTGCAGTTGCTGAAGGCAATATAACAGCCTCACGCTGCGCCTTAATGACGCGCTTAATCCTATCCTCGCTTACACCAAATGCAGCTGCAAGCTCAGGGCTTCCCAAGGTTTGAAGAATTGAGTTGGCACCAACCAAGAACTGTGGCCTGTTCTTGGCAGCTGAAGTTGTGAATCCAAAGAATTCAAGAGGGCCTGACCGAGCTGCAATTTGACAGAAGGGGAAGTATCTTGGAACCCAGAAAACATCGCCTTCTTTTACTCTTGCATTCATGGCTTGCGTTCCATTTGGAAACACAATCTGTATCCTGCCGCTTCCTCTCAAAACAATTCCGTACTCTGTTGCTGTTGGGTTAACATGAGGTGCCATCATTGATCCCTGAGACAAAAATTGCCCAAAAAAAGAAGAACAATGAGTTTACGTACTAATCCAGTTACGTTTGTATGTGGATGTGTGTCTACTCGTGTATTATGTAGTTGATGCAATTGCTAACAGTTTCTGTTAGTAGACAAGTAGGACCATTTGGTTGCCGTTAAAAGAGGCTGAAAGAGAAATCTTCAGTTGATCTTACTTCTGTTGCGGAGAAAAAATGCATTGAATATCATAAAACATGGAAGAGCGAACGAAAACAAGAGACTGGACCAGAGCAATTACCGCAGTGAGGTTAACTAGATAGACCCCGATACCAGAGTGTTGCAGAGGCGGATAATCAGACTCATCCAGGGCCATGCTCCATCCATAGTTGTTTCTAAAGTCCGGCCGTCTATCATAGATATTGCATGAATCAGGGGATTTGCCGGCTTTTTCACCTTTTTTCTTATTTTCCTGTCCAATTATTGAATGTAAGAGTTTCCTCCATGACCACGTCATTTGCTCCTTTTCTTGATTGGGTGGTTGTTGGAATTCCACCATTCTCTTTAGGTGCTGTAGCCTATCTTGCTCCTTCAATTGAGGGAATTTTGTCCACAGGCTTGCCCTTGGTGCCCTAGAATCACCTATGAAAACTATCGGACCCTCTTGTTGCCTGGTCATCATTTCCGTCACTTCATCTGCTGTCACCTGCAATCCACTATTAATCAGACTACTGAAGCAAATAAACTACTCAAAGAGCAGGGGGCTAATAGTGGATGTTTAGTAGGCAACTTTTATCTGTTGCTTACATTGAAGGCAGTTGACAGGGTTTCTAGTTCAAAACCAGCAAGAATGGATGTCGGATAGGTTCCCCCACCAATGAAGAAGGACTGCAAACATAGAAATCAGAAAAGATAGTCATTGCACAACCTAAGAATTGAAAAAAACAAGCAGTACATAAACTTCTCCGATCATATTTGAGCCCTTAGAACTTCGACAGCCGGACTAACAGCCTCCAGGCACAAAATTGAGCTGCCCAAAACCCTCAAGACGAAGGGACAAACTATTTCTCAACTCACTTTAGCAATGATTTACCTGGAAAGCGCCCAATCCCAAACTCTCAGATGGATCAATGCTGCAAATGATGTGAAGTCTCTGCCCCTCCTCTGCGTTCATCAAGTAGAATGCTGAGCCGGCAGGAATTCGGTAGATATCTCCCATCTTCAATCGTCTTTCTGCCAACTCATCCTTGTAGATCAATCCAACCCTGGCTTCCCCTACAACCCAAAATGAAAATCGTTAAATGTTTGCCATAAAAATTACAGTCCAGCGTAACGCCTAAATTTCGTGATATCCAATCTACTTAAAGCAATCTACTTCAGTAATTTGGTTATGATATCTCGCAAAGTGCTTAGAAAATGCCCATATTTTTTCTACTGAGTATAGATAGATACGGTAGATACTTGTGCATCAAGTGTGTGAGCAAATCATCATCTATTTTCATAATTATAAGTTATGAAAACTAGAGTCCACATTATCCACTTTCGCATATCATGTAAATGCACACACATATATATATATTGCTGTTTTGAGAGAAATCTAGGAATGCAGCAAAATAGAGAGATTATACAGAAGACTACACACCTGTACGGATGAAGAGAATCAAGCTGGAGTCGATATACTGAGGAACAAAAAGAGTTCTGGGCTCCATAGTAATGAACCCAATATGCATAGGCCTATCTGTAATCCTTCCACCATAATTCTTCAGCACCCTCATATCCCCAGCATCAGTTTTAACCACTCGCTTTGAATTTTGCAACAAGAACCACTCTTCTCGCTTATCTCTCTCTTCTACATCCCTCTCTCCTCTCTCGTCTTCCTTTTCTTCTCTATATAACCCCACTGCCATTGTGATCTCATAACACAGCACAAGCAGCAAGAGCAGATGGGCAGCTCTATTTCCCATTGTGTGTTAGTGTTCTCTAGCTAGCTAGGTACTAGCTTGCTTGTTTTGTGTATTCTATTGCTGATGAAATTTACTCTTGTTCGGTGTTTCAGAAGGAGTAGACAGGTGGGGTTTATGAAGGGGTGAGGGAGAGATTAGAAGGGAACAAGTGTCAGCCATGCAGAGCTGTGGGTTTGCTGGCTGCTTTTGGGCTAGACACAGTTGAGTTCTGGTTAGAAAGATCAGATCAAGCTGAGACAAAGTCATTTTTTCTTTTGCTTCCATATCTCCTCGATCAAAATGGGTTTATGATCCGGCTTTCTATTTATTTATTTTATTTTATATATATATAAAAAAAAAGAAAAAGAAAATCCACGTTGTTATTCATCCTCTCTGTTTTCTAGTCCCCATCTTTAAAATAAAAGCACAAAAAACCCAAGGCAAACAGTACTACACTTCCCTGCTGAACTTTCAAGTTTTTCTATCAATAAAATTTCGCTGTCAATTAATTCTTTCTTTTATTCAATTTTAAGTTTCTTAGAATCAGTGCAAAAGGAAGGCGAGGTAGGGGAATTTGTGGCTTCCATGGATTGATGTTGAGGATGAGAGGCACTGACCTGGAGGGGATAAGCCAAGGTCTGGGTTTCATAGTTAGTTGTTTTGAGACAGTGAATATTGTGTGTGTGTGTGTTTTTTTTTTTTTTTTTGAATCATTTGTCTGTACATATTCTAGACTAGCAGAGTTTAGTATTTAAGTAGTTTTTGCGGATAATGAAATCTATTTGTATCTGTGCTACTCATGAAGAGGTCTTGTTTTGTGTTTGCAGTTAGAAAGATAACTGAATGCTTTTGTCAACAAGGAAAGAGAGAAACTACCAAGAAGACAACACCATTCAATGATGGATGGGATAATGGCAAATCCCAAATTTTCTTCTTTTCTTTTTATCTTGATGAGTTATTGTGATGATAGTAAATCCCAATGTTTTTCGGGAAAAATCAGTGGTCGAAGTCGATTTGAAACTCCCCTTGAAAATAATATATGTCTTTATCGACTAACTTAATCTCTGTTGTTTAGAAGGTTGGGATGATTTGGAAGTAGCAAGGAAATTAAGCAGCTTTGGTGTCTTGGGCAATATGGAAACATAGAAACAAAACATCCTTTGAGTAGAATATTATGATCCAGTTGCAGCAACATGTTGGAGAAAGGATATGTTGGCATTTTTTTCTTTTTCTAATGAACATATTAGCATGTTATCAACCAGTTGAAACGGGGTCGTAAGCAAGCTGCTGGGGGACAATGTTCGATTTTGGCTGCATACACTTTGATGTCTAGCTTTGCAATGAGATGAGCACATACCGTTTCTTAAGTTTACTAAAATTCGACAAAATTTATTCGTTAAAGACATTTGTTGTTTATAAACTTAGATGATGATTTGAAGATGAATGAATTTTTCAAGTCTTTGTTGAGAAAGCATACCTTTGGTCAGTACACTTCTCTGGTTTTGTCCAAATATGGATAAAAATGTGCAAATTATTTATTGAGAAGGTTTTCTCTAAAATGACCATGTTTGAATTAGAGAGATAATGCTACAGTTTTAGAGATAGTTTGTTGGAATAAGTTAAGCGATTCAAAGATCGTACCATGGACATCTAAGAAGAATTTGAAGAGGAAAAAGCTATCAAGCCGTGTATCCAAGACGTATACATGGAGTATATGATATATCTTGAGAATTTAAGTTTAACCATCTTTTTTTACCTTAGTGAAAAGCGAGCAGCTCCATTATCATTTCTATAAGGGATGAATTCACCTCTACTATTAATAGTATCGAGAAGGATCCTTCAAGGAATGCAATCGAACTAAACGAGCAAGCTAACAAAAAAATAAGAACAGTAGCTGTCAACCACTATTTTGGAAAGTGAATCGACCCCCACTTTTCCCTTATACCACAGATCTAGTCTATGCTCTGTTAGACCATTGAATGACTGAACAAGTTCTTATCTTTCCATGAGTGAAGAAACTTTCATCCCAAAAAGAGAAGGCAAATATCAAGTATTGTTGATACCATAGATACGTAAGACATTCGACAACAAACTATTGCATTTGAAGTTATTATTTCATGACAAGCTGGACAAGAAGGACATCATCCTTGACAATGAAGATGGTGTCCAAGAAAATCTCCTGCCACAACATTAAAATTGTGATAATGGTAAATTGAATGCTATTTTTTATGATTTAATTGAGTTGGGAGCATAAAAATCCACCAAGTTACTCCTAACCACATCCTATCTTATGTGAAAGAGATAGTAAAAAATGACGTCTCCATTACACGATCTTCATTGAAGATTTTAAATTTTTGTAATTTCATCAATCTCCTAGGCTTTGATGAGAAAGCCAAAAAAGCAATTACAACGACCATTGTCTAGATATCTAAAGGATAGAATGGTGAGAGTTCTATTGTCAACTATCTCGCATAAAAATGGTAAAGAATTATGAGAATGCTATGGTTGTATTGATACTGATTATTGTGTTGAGAAGATCAACCATAAATGTCCACTTTATAAATGTGGACAATAAAGTGAATGGTTGTCCAATTCGTAGGTTCCTCATTGATATTAGTTACTTCTTAAATCTTATGCCATTTATAATCTTTATGCCACTTATCATCTAGAGAGGTTTATGTACCGATGAGAGATCTATGAATTAGACATCAATTACTCTCAAAGTCTTTGACAAATCTTCTTTCCAAACTCGAAACTATGTTGCGGTGGATTTTCACACGGACTTATACGAGTGTTTACCCCATTTCATATCATTGATGCTTTTGTGTCTTTTCTTTAGGAATTTGATTTGATTCCCTCCTACAGGCATCAATATTAAAGGGATATTGGAGAGGAGTATAAATCTTCATTTCGTTATCGAGTTGTTTTTTTAGCATGATGAATTTCATTTTATGAAAGCATCATACTAAGACGAGTTTATAGCCGATCGTGAGTCTAGGATTGGCAAAACAATGACCAATCTACTAAAATATGGTCATCGAGACCGATCACTAGAAGAGAGGCACCCGTAAGGATGGTAAGAGAAGGAGGCGTAATGATTATGATATCGACAACCGAATTCATAGACCAAAGTTATTGTTATACTCATATGTGTGTGTGTAATGAACTTGTTCTTAACTCTTGTAAAGAGTTAATTCTTGAGTGTTTCTTACTAATGAAATGATTAAGTTCCAAGCCGTAATGATTTATTTTGTAGTTCATTCTTTATTATTTTATAAAAAATCTATATTCTTGGTATTAAAAGAAAAAGTATGAAAGCAGATGATTGTCATGCTCTCAAAATTTGTTAAAAAAACATATTCATCTAGCCAAGATGTATGTCGGCCAAGCCATGAGTTTTTCATGCTTTGTTTATATATATATATTCATCTAGCCAAGTTGCATGCAAGTCGAACGTGAGTTTTTCGTGCTTAATTTTTCTTTCTAATGACAACGTCCATCTAGCCAAGTCGCATATCGCCACGATGTTAACTTTTCATGCTCGGCTTTTCTTTCGATGGTAATGTCATGTTCATTTAACCAAACTTGCATTAGTTAGATCGTGAGTTTTTCATATTCATTTTCTTTTTTGAATAGAAACATCGTGTCCATCTACCTAACCTACATGTTGGCTAGGTCATGAGCATAAGCAAGTGAGCACTTAAAAAAGTTCATGCCTCCTCAATGATTTAATAATCGAAACTTAAGGACCAATAAACACTTAAGAACCATCGTCTCTTTATATTATTTTGTCTATATAAAAATACACATCCACATATTTGTTAAAACAAATGAAAATGATTTTCAAAATACCAATAACTTTGAGACTAATCTACATGTGTTATTTTTGATAATGCTATTTGATGAGATCAGTATCGTTGCTAAGCATGAATTGTTTTATTGATGTGTCTTTTCATTTGAGAGTCGCTTTTCGACTAAATCTTGACCAATCTAAAAAAAAAAAAAAGATGGAGGTCAATATACTAGCTAATTTTTTAGATGAGGATTAATAGGTGACATGGTGCCTAACATGACACTTGGGAGGTTACTTGCATGTCAAACAATTTCCCTATTTATACTAGGCAATTTTTTTTTTTTTAAGTAAACCATGTTATCACAAGAAGTGATGGCCACGACATTTTTTGAAAAATCCATACACTTTACCAATTTTCTTATGAACAATTTGTAAAAAACGAAAAATGGTTTTGAGGGTTGGCCAAGACAAAAAAAAAAAAAAAAAAAGGACACTCGAATGCTAACTTGTCCGGTTGCCAATCGATTTGCTCTTTATTAGTATTGTCTATTCCTTCTTTCACATCTCTCACTATTTGTATCTATTTTATTTAGTTAGTTTATTGTTATTTTTATAAATTATAGTACAATCTTTTTGCATCTTGACAGTTTGTCGATCAATCTTTTGATTAATTCTGAAGAACCCATGAGCTTTCTCCTACTTGGTTTGCTTTTTTGATAGATAAAAAATTTAATTCATCTCAAGAAGAGTTTGTTTGTTTGTTTTGTTTTGTTTTTTTCGATGTTGATGGCATTTGCATGTTCCAAAGGGTAGCTTTTCAGTGAAGTTATGCAGCTTAGGATCAATTCTTTTCACATCCGGTAAGCTCTACCTATTCTGCCAAGCATCATATTATTTTTGGGATGATCAATTATTTTTGCTTTCTACTAAGCTTATCTCCTCTCTTACGCTTCATTTGTCTCATAATTTGGAGGCCAACATTTACTTTGCGATTCCTCATCCCATATGGGCATCAATTATGTCTGGGGTTAGCAATTTGAGACTGGATGCAGTACTTAGACGTCAGCTTATTCTTGGATGTCAAGATAACATGGAAGAAGAAAAGTTTGTATAATTGGGTACTAGTATATTTCGAGACGGACAATTTTTTCAATGCCATTGTCCAAAGACAAATGAGTTAATGCGTACTTTCCTTCTTCGGCTAGTTTGCTGAACATCTTTGACAACT